TCAACTCAATAGTCATAACAGATTATTAAAGTTATCTTTAAATGTGCCCACCAACTTGGCAATTTGAAACTTGAAGATATCGTACAACGATTAAATTCACTTCATACTTATACGTCACTCATAACCCATTGTCTACGATTTAATTAAAACGTGAATCAACTCCCAATTAGCACTTTACGTAACAGATAATAAATGTCGGATACATTTTATATCTACACGTGAGTTTTTAATGATGGAGGCTATTATGTTACACGTGAGCAACGAACGGCTATTTTCGTTGTATTAATGTAGAATATTAATATGATGAACAAGTTACGACATTATGTTATCGTTTTTTAAGTGTCATCGGATATTTTGGGGTTATATCGAAAATAGAATAACGTCCAAACCTATTTCCAAATCCTTTGGTTGTTTTTACACTGGCATCAGTACAGAAAAGTAAAATTTTAACCTTTTTAAATTTCCTTATAACATTATGCGTGACAAACTGAAGGAATAATATACAATATTAACCTATTAAAATAATGGTATACAAAAATAATAAATGTTCCAGTTTGCGATAAAGAAACCAAGCAAATACATAAAAATATTATTACGCAATATCGACAAATTGAACGAACAAATCGAGAGATAGAAAACGTTTTTTTTATTGAATATCATCAAGTGAGATCATAAAGTTAAATCGTCGCGTGAAAATATCGACACTGATAAAAAATATTTGCACGTCCGTGTGGAACCACGGTGTATTAATATTTCTGTCAAGATATGAACGCAGTACTTTAATAACAAATATGTCAAAGTCATAAGCTAACATCAATAAAAGTTCCTCAGTAACGAATTCATTGAAATTGAGAATCTCTCCTCCTTGGCACTCAGGTCATCTGTAGGCCTTCATATCGAAGATATGTAATCAAATAACTTAACAGCAACGTAGTATAAAACAATGCAATATTATTATAATTATTTTAAGAGTATGGTTATATCATACAACAAATATGATATGACCATACTCTTAAAATAATCTGAGACTTCATCATCGCTGGTACCTAAAATAAAACGCAAATCTTTACTTCCTCCAAACACTACCACGAAATATATAATAGGCTTCCTCGCATGTTTTCGTCGATTTCTTTGAAGATAATCACTCATATTGACATCTTTCACAACGTTTTCCCGTTTAACGTTTAATCATTTCATTTGTAATAAAATCAAACGGGTCCCATTCACGCTACGCTTCACCAATCGCTGTTGTCCAAGCTGAGTTCTGATTCTGAGGGTAAATTAGTAAACCCACATTATAAACGCTTGCCGTAAGTCTTCGACAAGATTCTTCTGCCTCCAAAGTCTCTCCGCCACGTTCCTATCCAGTTTACAACATCTAAAGGAACCGTAACCTTTATAATTGCGCTTTGTGAATTTTCTATCAGTTATATGACAGCGTCGTATTTACTTCAATAAACATGTTGTGTGACGCCTCTTAATGCGGCATTTAGTTCTACTTGTCGTCATAAGCACTACCAACATTGTCACGTGCATGTCCTTTAAACAAAATGGAAGTTACTACAACGACCTTGGCATTGACCTTCTTTAGAATTTCTAGAATGGCAAAGTCGCGACAGTTTTAAATCCACAAAGCGCCACGCACAAAACCGCAAACGTTTATTAGTATCGCAAGAAAAACCTAAAGCTCAGTGTTTTTCCACTCGTACACGTATGCATGTATTCCTTGATAAATAATTGATCACGTACCGTGATATCCTTTTTGACAGATTTTGTCTGAAGTCATAACAAAAAGGTATAAAACGAATATGGGTCATATGTTAAAGCGACCCGTTTTTTGCTCGGGCACCAAGACGTTGTCACTCATGGTATTCTAATACACAAAATTCTGGGAAATCTTATCTAATGTTTAATTCATACTGATCACCGAAAATTTTTATACGCTTTTTTTAACATAACACCTGAAGGCTGTGTGGTTCCGAAGACAAGAACAAAGTACCAATGATTTCGATGACTCCGTGGAGCAGTCGCCAAGGTATTGGCTTCGGCGTCCGGGGTCGTGGGTTCGATTACCACACGGTACAACTATTTGTGTGATCCACAGATAGTTGTTTCGCATCTGGGTGTTTGTCCGCGAGGAAATTGTTTTTGTAAAACGTCCTTACAACACAGGATAACATCATCCTAATGTAAGGGCAGAGTTTTAAAAAAATATGATTAATAATAACTTAAATTACACCATCTATGAACTACGGCTACTACATTTATACGGGTGGTTAATTCCGATCTGATGGTTCATCTAGGTAAAACTTTACGAATACCTAATGACTTATACTGTCAGAAAGGCGTGTGCAGATAGGATGACAGCCTATCAGCAAAAAAGGATCTTCTTGGGGGTTCCTAAGTCGTATCCTTCATTAAACTGAGTCAACAACTTTAGCACCTGCAATATGCATTGCTTGCTAAAAAGATTATCCTAGACCTAACATCGATCTGTGAGCATACGACATACCAATTATGAATCGTACACATCTTTGGAAGGAATGCTTGTGAGAGATGTTGTGGGAGATGTGCTTTTTTGTCCAAACATTTAAACTATACACTTTGCCAGCGCAGCAGCCGAGGACAGTATTACCAACTGTTCAAAAAAATCAACCCCAAAAGCAATTCAAAAACCCACTAAAATCCAATAAAATTCGTTAAATTCAAATCTGGTTTGAATTCAGCGAAAGTTTACCTCCTAAAACTTCCATTATTTTGTTTTGTTACCTTAATTCAGGAAGAAAATTCCTAAGTAAGCCGAGGATGAAAGAAGGGTATCCTTGTATCATCTACGGCTGCATTTGTCAATAAGGCAGTAGTCACCTTGCGGCTGGGACGTCGACTCACAATCTGTAGTAACCTATTCGAATCTCAAAAGGGTTCATGAGCTTAAACTCGCTTTTCTGATTTTTTGGATTATTATCGTACTGTAACTATGTTTGCCGCCATCAATAAACGTTATGCAAAATTATTAATCTCTCTTTTTAATCACACAAAGAACTTCAAACAACCAGGCGGTAGTAAATGTCATTACCAGGTGGTAGTAAATGTCATTACATACGTTACTTGTCATAAAGAACGTTCCTTGCTATCCAAAAATATAAACCGAATAAGTCGCATTCACCCTGTTACGTAAAACGATAAACAGAATAACCGACCAAGTTATGACGGACTACATCTGCTTCCGTAACCCGTCCTTGAAACCCCCACATATTTTTTGCACGTGATACGTAAATACGATTTGGCCATTCGTGTTTTAAATTGCGAGGACTTTTTTTCTAAGGAAAAACGATTGTGTTTTGATAGTTGACAACTATCGTTACATAACGTCTGGCTGTTTGACGAAAACGAGTTCTTGCGTGAACTTGACAACAAAAACTAGTGACGCCACTAAAAAACAAAGCTGTTTTGTTTTTTATGTCAGTTTCTACCTATACAGTAAACGAGTGACTTTTTTATATTTATACAAGCGAACCCGCCAGACGTTGTTTGTTAACACGTCTGAAATCCGAAATCAACTTATAAATAAAAAAAATAAAAAAATGTAGACTGAATAGTGAATCTAAGCCATTCTCGAATCGACCTGAAGACACACACACAAAACTTCATTACAATCGGTCCAGCCGTTTAGCAGGAGTTCAGTGTCATACACATGTCATTGTATAGAATTATGTATATAAAAACTACCTGACCCGGCAAACGTTGTTTTGCCATATAAATTATTTGTAGGGTAGAAAAAAATGTTTGGGGTGGACCACGCTTATACACACAAAATTTCACGAAAATCGGTCGAGCCGTTTCGGAGGAGTTCAATTACAAACACCGTGACAAGAGAATTTTATATGTCACATATCGCCATTCAGATATTCAAAATAACGATATGACATGCATATTAATGTTATTTGTGATATATTATGGGCTGCTGTATTAATTTAAGAAAGGAAAAAGAAAGATGTAGTTTCTAAATTTAATATAAAATTTTAACATAAAATACAAAAACATAAAATTAAAAAAAATTAAATAAAAAAACATAAAATTTTTACATAATTTTTTTACAGATTATTCGTATACGCATAATTTCCAAATTTTAGCTACACTATCGTATTTTTACACGTTACAATTTTGGGATAAGGTTATATATATTTTCCGATTTTCCAAGATTTAATTTTTTTTTTTATGCGAAAAGTTGTCAAACGAGCAGACTGTTCACCTGATGTTAAGTGAATACCGCCGCCCATGGACATCTGCCACACCCGAGGGTTACAGATGCGTTGACAACCTTTTGAAAATTGGGCTCCGGCTACCTCACTCACCGACCTCAAAAGCGAAAGTATTTGTCATACTTCCACTTTACGCCGGTCTTCTGTGAGGTCGTGGTACTTACCCGGACGGGCCTGCCCATTCATGCAACAGCCGAGGCTGCTGCGTGGCCCTACCACCGTAGGTGTAAAATTATTGTATTGGTCACAAGTTGTAATTATCAAATGAATACAATTTGTTTTCTTATATTATTTATGTAGGTATATAAGTTACAATGAAGTCAAATCAACAAGAAGAATATATACCTATATCCAAGATTTTATGAATTATAGTTTAATTTTTCCGACAAAACAAAAATATGTATACTATTGTATTTCTGAACGTACCTATATCTCAGCAAGATGAGAGAATTTTGCAACAAAAACTTATTTTTATTTTATCACACATGATGCAGCTAAAGTCACAGATTAACAATAACTTAAAGCCAGGAAGCAAAGGAAAAACTAAACCACTACTACGGTGATACGAACTATACCACGCCAATTAATATATGAATTTAAATAGAGTTTTTTTTTTGTTTACGCGAATACCACAAATATAGTTAAAGTAAAATGAAGTTTCAGTTAAATTTCAGCCTATTATGTAATGTTTTAAACTCGTCAACATCGACTGAGCAAAGGACTCCTCGAACTTTAAAGATGGTATACTACTCGACCTCACCTTGGATGTCTTCAAAATATACTTTTTGTCATAATTTTCAAAAAATATAGGTTTCCTAACGATGTTTTCCTTCACTGCTGAGCAAGTGATAAATCAATGCTTAAAATGATTATTTGTGGTTTTATTTAAGAATGTGAATACATGAATAATAAAATGAATGAGAGAATGCAAAATACTGTCAAACGTTTTTTTCTGTGTTGCCACAACATTAATTATAAAAGTGACTCGCGCCGAAGACTGTTTCCCGCGAAAATTGGTAACCCACGTACGTGCACGTCAATGCCAAAAAAAAAATTACCAGTATCTATGATCCTCATAAACACCGACTAGTCTACTTCGCAGAACTCTACTCTTGACCGCAACTTCCTTATTACATTCCAAATTGCATATTTCGGCTGTTATAGGTCCATTATATTTGGTACAATTTAATTATCTTTTACAGTATATCAATAGTCGACTCCCCGCGGTGTTCCCACTTGCGAGATACTGCTTCATTATTATTATGTTGCGATTATTTGGTTTCTCGAAAGAAAATAAAAAAAAATAAAAATTAAGAATTTGTATAACTTAATGCGATAAATAAATAATCAATAGAGCTGCAGTGATTTGTATTGGCCTAATATAATTTTAATATCGTGCCGTAAATATGAGAACAGTCGATTTTACTTCTTTCCTATTGATTTCATATAAAATATCGACCATTATATTACTGATACAGCCATTGTACCCGGGGAAGTACGGTTCATTAAAATCTAATACATTAAAAAAGAAAAGTAGTAAAGTAACCGCCTACATAATATGTCCCACCGCTGGGACCTCTATCTAGGCGGTTAGGACGTTGTCCACCAAGCAAGCGTACTGCGGATTGGCTAACTCCAACATATCTTCAAAATATTTTTTTTATTATTTCGGATATATGCAGGATTTGAACTCGGGTTGCTCGGGTATATTGAATTATAAACGACCGGACACTATTAAGTAATTAAAAAATAAAAACTGTTAAGATATTTATCTTGGTAATTATTTTATACACATGTTCGACATTAATACGTGCCAGTTCATCTCTTGAAATTTTACGTAATAGAGTAAAATATTTTTTTCCCATAACGGCGAAGAAAGTTATCGGTATGTAAATTACTATATATATATTCTATATTATAATCTCCATGACCAGCGGTTATCACTTAATATCAGGTAAACCGCCAGTTCGCATGTCTTCTCGCTTATCATCTTCTAACAAACTAAAATAACATAAATACAGAACAGCTAACGCAACAAAATAAAGGCGTAAAATTGAAATTAATTCATTAGAACATTACACAAATCAAGTAACACGATAAACCATGGATTACCAATTTCGTAGAAACACAAAAATGAGACAAACACATGACTCAATCGTGAATTAGCTAAAAAAAATTGAACGCTATATTGACTCAAAAGCGCCGGCTAAAGTGATTACACACAGGGTAAGTTACGTAAATATTCGCACACGAGCGCAGCCTCACGCACACCAATGCAATCACGCACACATTCAAAGATTGCGTCAGTGTGAGTGCTGCAGGCCGCGAGTTGGTTCGACCCCTCTACAAAATTTAGTCGCTCTCTAGACTTCGCAGAGAATAGACGTGTCCAAGTGACTACAGTACTACGCAGCTTCATCGCATTGGATATTTCGTCAGAACAACATTGTGATAGTGAAAAATCTTTTTGGGACGTGAAAAGTGGACGTGTTTGTAACATTTAACATTCATTTTGGAACAATTTGATAAACTACGCCGTGAACGGTTCTGTGCATTGCTGTTTGTGAATTATGACATTGTTCCCACTATTTGGATAATTCCGGATAAGGAGCTGATAATTGCCGCAAATATTTTTGTAAGTATTTTTATATTAACATCAACCTTTTTTATTTAATTTTTATAGCACAATTTCTTCCCAAGAAAAGCTCTGTTTTTAATGGCATAAGAATTTTAAATCAATATTAGAAAATATAAATTATAAGGTCGATAAAGAATACTTGCAATTATCTTAATAATTATTTTAACTAAAATTCAATGAAATTTAGCTAAAATTACAAAATATACAAAATTTGTTCAACAACAAACGAAAATGAACCGAGAACCATGAAAACGCGTTTGTTTCAAAGGTAATTACTAATTGAAAAAATAATGCAAACAAAAATTAATTAAATTTGTTAATTCCAAGAAAATATTCAACTACCGGTTATAATTTGCTTAAAATTTATCTCGATGACTAAATGGTGAGATGAGTCAGTCTTTTTCAACGTTTGGCGGTTTCGGTCAAAAACTTCTGTTATGTCATTGACTTCTACATCGAATTTTGTTTACTCATGCCCCCACTGTTTCGTGCCAAATTTTCTTTCGCCCAAATCATTTCGTTCGTAGAACCACACGTACCTTTTACGACTCTTTGTTTTGATCTTTTGTTTGTGAATGTGCTTCCTTACATGTGTTTTCAATATTATCTTTGTTTACACTGTCAATACTACGTTATTACGTTGTACATTTTATTTTTGCATGATATAGTGATCTAAATTTAAAGTTATTTTTCAAGAAATTCCTTATAAATTTACCATAGTTGATGATACCATATTTAATTTATTTGTCGATGTTGACGAGTTTAAAACATCCGAAACGTTTGTGGTGTTATTTAGGAAAATAGTGAATTTTTTTCTTCTCATGATTGACTTTTCTTTTTTTTCGTTTTTTAAGACTTGGAGAATTGATATTTAAATTGTACATTTAATTAGTGCACTGCGCTTGACTGAGGGCTGTGTTGTAAGCGGCGCCTGGCACCTAGGCTCTGTCGTAAGCCATTGTGAGGCGCTTACACAACTGGTTCAAGGTTCCCGCGTGCATTCGCCTACGGATGTGCGGAAACTAGATTTTGTAACCGCGTAATTGCTTTAAAACGTAAGGTATTTAAAAATATGCCTCTATGTAGTACGAAACCTGGTAGTGCTGGCCAGTTATGATTTAAAAAAAAACTGTGTTCACGCGGCCAGCAGTTCGTGAAATGTTCCTTTATTTCGAATTCCATTGTTTCAAACCGTTTTAAATGCAAGCCTAATAAATTAATATCACATTTTGCATAACGCTATTTTATTGCGAATTACGAACTTAGTAGACATTGAAAATAAAGAAAATTCATTCTTTTTTTTTTCTTTTTTAATCATAAATGGATATTGTAATCCAATTAATTTTAGAACAAATTTAAACATAGAAAATCGATTGCAATCGATCCACCGCGTAAAGGTCAGTTCTACGTATGACGCAACGTCCCTAGGGCGTGTTGCGCAATTCGCTGCAACGCAGACGGCAGCGTGCTGTTTAGTTTATACCGTTACCGTTTCTATAAATGCCGGCAGTCCAAACTGTTTCTGCGATTTGTAAACGTTCATTTAATTCTATATTGACTGCATACGAAAATGTTGCCAATAACATCTATTAATGTAAGTAAATCAAATCTTATGTAATGTACGTTTTATCAAAAAATCCGTGATCGCCTTTAAATCGACACCCATGAACTTGATGTAAATTCTACGATAAACGCGGCGAAAAAAAAACACAATAATTTTTTTGGGGTCATTGTCCGCCCGTTGTTTTTCATAATGTAAACTGGATTACAAAATCCAAACTTTGAAACGCGCATACGCCGAGCGGCCTCGCCGAGAATTGGTGCGGCCGTCGAAGTTGTCCGTAAAACAGAGATAACAAATATTAATGTGGACCGAACAAAGGTGGTGTATCGAATAGATAATGAGTGTAATACAAAATGCAATCGGTACACGGTGACGTAATGCAGGAACTAAGGCGCAAGGTTGTCCGGAAGGTAATAAACGCTTTAAGGTCGGGTCCGCATGCGTTCGGTTAATCATGCATCATGACTCGCGATATGGCTATGAATTTTAATTCGAGTTAACCGATAATAAATGCACTCGTTACAAGAAATTACACGCCCACTATATTAAACTTGCTTTTTACGAACCAGGCTCGACCGGGAAGTCCCATTGGGTATATAGGCACCAACTATGACTTGGTTTAGAATTTAGGCGAGGTTGCCGGGGCCCCCTCGTAAAGTTTGCAACGAAAGTGCGGCCCAACGGTTGTTGTTTATGCCCACCGGCGTTTACTGCTTGACGTCAGAGGACCCATACCGTGTGCCCATAAGGGAAATAGTCTAGCGATGCGCATTAAACGTTTTAATGTGCTTCGTTAAAATATTGTTAAGTAATAAAATCGGAACGAGTACGTGCCGGCGTTACGTAAGCGATTTTTCAACGTACAAACAAGGCGGCCGGTAATTTCATTGGACCGAGGACGAGCGAAGATAACTTGACCTATTTTTTTTTTATCTCGAACACTCGCGTAACTCTAACCCAGTTAGTGATGTGCACGTGAGCGTACACGGCCAATCGCGACAATATATTATGTAGATCGCTCGTTGTGTGACGTGTTGCTCTTTTAGTATGTGACCAACAAACACGGTAGATTGAAAATGGTCCGTTGACGCAATCGAGCTGAATAATGTGGGTGATGTCTCGAGCGTAACATTTCTTAGGGCTAAGAGATCTGTTTAATGGGAACTGTGGGACACGGATCCGGTCAAAACCAGTTTTCAATTTTCCAAGGTTTCCAATTTTCGAATTACCCGAAATAGTGAGTACTGCTTGGACTTCGAATTACGCGGGGAGTAAACATCAGCACGTAGTGATTCATCTTAACCGGAATTATAAAGAACACCTTCCAACTAGCTTCCTGGAAGCTTGGACGTTGTTACGTAAGGCGTGTGCGGCTAATTCCGTCGAATCTGGCGCGGTGAAATAGGTTAAACGTTTCTTAATAACTAGCAATTAGTCTCGCCCGACAAGGTCGCTCAAGTGGGCTTGTATGTCAAAGGATTATCAGATAGGGAAATCCCCAACCGGAACAGCCGCGGGAGCCTTGGCACATTTCACGGGTGTTTTATCGCCCGAAGCAGTTACGAAACGGGACCTTGACACCGATGCGTTATCGCGCCACGAAAAAGGCCACCCCGAAATAAAACAAATCCCGTTTGTTTAACTGCGAAAAAACTCGCGGGAATGTCGGTCGGGTGTAAGTTGGGTGAAAATTGGAGGGAAAAAAAATACTTGAAACTCATCCAGACCGAACGACCTCCCCGTATCCTCGGACCAAAGTTTAAAAATAAAGTATTAAATGACAACGCCACTTACGAATGTGAATAATGAATGTTTTGTAAACATCTAACTGCTAGCGAGGATGATTTATATCCTATCAAATGAATGAATCAATACAAGGAAAGAATGGAAAATTCTTCCTCGTTTGATTTTAAACAGGATTAAATAATTTGGATTAAATATTAGTTGATGTTTTAACGTTACTCGATTATGTGGTGATAAAATGTCAAATCAAAGATGGCGACCGCCCTACTTTTCCCGCGCAATAAACTGTGGTGAGCGTATGGAAAGTTACCGCTGTACTACTTTCTCTACTTTTTCCAAGATGGCCGATATTGTCTACAAGCTTAAAGGCAGGTCAAGAGCGTCTATTATTTTTATAGCATTATATTTACAATCGATTCGCGACGCACGTGATACGATACAATATCAACGTTTAGCCAGTCGCGAATCGACTCGTTTCTCGCATATTTTTATGCACTTTGTTGAATAACAGCGCACGGTCGTGATTAACGAACGCATTCTAAATCCATGACCAATTATGCGAACGCCGTATCGCACGGGCGTGTACGAGCGTTCCTTTTAGCAATTCGCATCGCGACGCGCGACGGTCAAGGCTGGGCCCGCCGCCCGTTATATCCAGAGGGCAATTAATTGAGTTTCACGTTCTCCGATCACGTTGTCGCGTTGCAGTTTATATAACAGTTCAGCGGGTGGCGTGCTCCGTTGCGCAAGACACAACGTGAGGTTCAAGTGCGGGCACGTGTCGGTCGCCGCGTGACCGGCGTGGCCGCACGTGTACCGCTGGCAGCCGGATGAGGTCGCCGATCGCCTAGGGCGGCCTAGGCCCACCGCCGCTAGGGACATCTGTCCTACCGGCATCACCCCGTTACTACAGTGCAAAACTATATCGACAGAATTGGCTTGGTTTCCGAAGACCCATTCTGTTTCGGAATATAGATGAGACACAACTATATGACAACTGTACCTCCCGGTATAAAACAACTATACTGTCAACTGTCCCGATTTATATTTTTTAGTTGAAAGTTCGAGTTTCAACCCTCCGTTGTTTAACTTTCATCAACTCCGATAACTTTATAATAACTCGTGGCAATAAATCCTCTATCAATAAATTTGAAATTATTGCGACTACGTGTTATGAAAGTAGCTCAATCTGCTTAACATTGTAAAGTAAACGTTACCATTGCATCCTAATAAATTTAACTTTGCAGCACTTCTACATCAATTATTTTATACAGAGTTTAACATAAATAATATTATTGTAGGCTGCGGTATTTGCAGGGATTGAGATATGTAATGGTTTTTAAACGAAATTTTAACCAACTTTCGTAAGAACACAATAACACCTTGACTGGGCTACTAGTGAATCAGCACTGCAATACGAGTTCGAATTGATATCGCTCGGCTATTTAATGTATTTCCATAAATATTACATATATACGTAAATAAGCGTGGGTACGCTAATACTGAGCCTTAAAGTATCTTTAAAAATATCTCTAAGCTTTTGCGCACGTGTCGCCAGTGAGCCATAGCACGTGCAAAACACGGCACAACGTATTTATGCGTCCCGTGCCGTTCAACCTGAGCGTAAAGCTTGTTAGTCTTCACGTGTTCCAGTTGAATTTATCCGATTGTGCTCAGCCACGTGCGGTAAAACCGTTTCGTTTTATAGAGCCAAACCTCTATTTATTGTTTCCATTTCAAATCGTTCCAAATTCAAAAGTTTTAAGGCGAACGATATTACAGTTCCACTGGCGACGTCGCGTTTTCTTATAAATCAGCGGATGCACAAATAATTCTTAATCGCGCGCAATTGCCAATCGAAAGCATCGAGTTTGTAAAGACGCTAACCGCGAAATTCAACGAGAGAACGGCATGCGCTGTCTCGCGCACTCCCAATTGCCCAACCCAACCTTGAATACGTCTAGAAGCGGTGACGAAACCAAATAGCTGTTTCATAACAGTATTACGGGTTTTAGACCAGCGATGAGCACAAAAACCGTTCGCGGTGTACCGTACGGTCCCAGTTTTTGGTTAACGGTGTGCTCACGAAGCAAATGATTAGCTATAACTGTCCGCATCAAAAGCCGCTAGGCTGTTGGCGGGAACGCACGCCGCCATTGCTCTATAGGCCTTCATATTGTCTATGGTCAATACAAAACTTGAATTTTGTAGCCATATTAAAAATAGTTTTACCCGTTTATATAGATTTCGCAGTGGTACGCGTTTTTTATCACATATCGATATTACTATTTAAATAAAATGTAATATAAACATGGTTTATCTGCAACAACTCGTATAAATTGATTCATGGACACAAAATGTACCATGACTACGCTGAGTCGGTCCGACCGCATATCTATTGATAAGTGGTGACTCACATTTTTATAGCATGTTAATAATGATAAATTACTTAATGGGGTCACAATAGAGTAAACGCTTGCTGTTTTAATAATAACATTGTAAAGTTGCCAGAGTTTATTTATTTTTAACATTATTAAAAAATTTAAAAGTTCAGTAAAGTTAAGTAAAGTTAGTAATAAAGTAGTAAACGTTATCACTTGCTGTTTTTAGTTTTCTTTAGTGTCTCTATTTTGATCGCAATTTTAAAGCCAAATAGATTCTCATTTTAAATCTTGCGCTGAATTTGCGCAATTTGAAAATTAACGTTATATGCATATCATGAACGGTTGAATAAAAACTTTGTTCGAGAAACTGTTAACTGTGTACTGTAGAAATATCGAAGTAACGGTTGTCTATAAAAAATGGGCGATGTAACTGTGTGTGCACGGTTGATTTATTTCGTTATCGTTATGTTTACAAGCATAACTATTTCTCTAGAACACATTCTGTATTTTTAAACTTAAGAAGAACATGTTCATGTTATGTATGTATATATATATATATATATATATATTATATGTATATATATATATATATATATATATATATGTATATATATATATATATTATATGTATATTCTATATATTCTCTTATTCTTCTATATTCTATATCTATTATATGTATATATATATATATATATTATATATATTATAGGTTGTTCGTCTTTTCTGTATACACAAGAATAATAATCTGCAAGTGTTTCACCATTACGGTGCATTCGGGTCGAAAACGGTGTTGACCTCATCCTTCACGAAATAATAAAGCGGCTACTTATTAAGAAAAAAAGCGTCACAGACATTTCTTCGCTTCCCGCCAATTAGCGTCGTGGCGGATAATCGAACGATCTGACGCAACGGCGCGTTTGCAACCGGGCTTGCAACCATTGACCCAGTGACCACTGATCGACGGTAGGCAAATTGCGCTAGATGGCGTGAAGATCGTATTTTTTTACAACGCCCATTGCGCCAGGTTGTGAAACGGTCCCGTTCGAAAGCACCTCTAGCGATTGGATGAACATGTAATTTACTATGCTTCGATTCGTTGAATACCTAAAAGTTAAAATTGTATTTTCTTCCTAATCACCGCGTGGAATATTAGTGTTATGATTTTCGACAAATTAAAATCACTTCTCCAGTACGAAGTCGTCTCATTTGCATTCGAAATATAAACGATTCAAATAGGAAGGGGCTATGTAAAGCTATCGATGCAACGAGCCCGCTCAATGGCCTCTTAAAATTCTCTAGACGCGCACTAATGGCGCTCTTTCGAATTTCATAGGGAATAAATTATGAATATAGCCGTATAATCGGGCCCCCTCACGTGTCCGCCAGTCTTCGGCATTATTACAAATTCATGCAAATCCCCGTGTAAAAGCATAATTTCAGATTTAGAAAGAGCTCTCACATTGTCGCGGGCACCGCGTGCGCCGGAACGTGATCTCAATTTTCTTTTTTTCTCTATGCGCTAGTCGGCACTAAGAAAAAGGTAGTGGCCAGTTTATGATTTCGCCACAATGGGCAGTTAACGACGCTCATTGTTATACTATCGGATGGCGCGCTGTCGATTATGACGATTTTTAAGACTCTCACTTCCGCCGACCGATAGCATGGCGGTCATAAAACGCATCGACTTTATACAACCGTAAATAGGTATTTAAACGGTCTGCGAAGTAAAGGTGAATAACATCGGCGCCGGCCCGTCGAGGATTGTCTATATTGTACAATGGCCTTAGTAAGCGTTTCAGCGGCCACGCTGGGGGCAACGTGAGCGGCTTGCGAAATCTAAATGTGTGTTAGAAACTATTAGGTAACGTTGCATATTTTTCATCACATGTCGACTGGCGTGCATCAGTCGCTTCAGTCGCTCCACGAAGCGCTGACTGCTTCACGAATTGCACGGCAACAGTGTAACGCGATGGAAGTGGATTTCGCCACCGATGATATCCGGAGCAGCCCGATTTCTGTAGCAAAGGTTGGGAAACTCTTCAAAACAGTTTCGCTGGCATGAAGGGTAGCAAAAAATAACTGTTTAAATGTGGCAACGATTCGCGATTACACAAAGATCCACGTGCGGGGCTTACAGCGCGGGATCTTACGACACCGTTTTTGCAAGCACTGCATTTTGTAACTTAGCAACGCGAACTTGGCACATCGTTAACGTTACGTTTCTTTTGTTGCAGAGCCACAGCGAGGATCCGTGCGGACAAGGCGTCGTCCGCCGAAACATGGTCGCCGAGTTCATTCTGAGCCAGCAGCAGCTGCTGAGCGCGGGCGGGGGCGCAACCCTGGGGCCAGCGCCTAACCCGTCGCGGGTTCCACCACCGCCGAGAGCGCGCCTCTCAGTTTCCCCGCACTTCCCACTCGACCAGCAGTCCCCGTCCAACGGGCCGCCGGGTGACCCGCACGACTACCCCTCGAACTTCGACTTCAATAAGAGGAAGGACTTCTTCGGGCAGCGCAAGCAAAGGGAATTCATACCCGACAGCAAAAAGGATGACGGCTACTGGGACCGCAGGCGTCGCAACAACGAGGCCGCCAAGCGCTCCCGCGAAAAGCGCCGCTTCAATGACATGGTCCTCGAGCAACGCGTGGTCGAGCTCTCCAAAGAGAACCACGTGCTGAAGGCGCAGCTGGACGCAATCAAGGAGAAGTACGGCATCTGCGGCGAGGCGCTCATAAGTATCGATCAGGTGCTCGCGACGCTGCCGACTTGCGACCAGGTGCTCTGCGTCACCAAGAGGAGTAAGCTGTCTGGTAACGCGCTGTTCCCGCCGGCGCCGCCGCCGCCGCCGCCCGTGCAGCCCGCGTCGCCGCCATCGCCGCCGCCCCAACGGGCGCCGGAGCCCTACCAGGAGAGACTCCCCGCCCCGGAGGCGTACTACCCGCACCCGGCGCACTACGAGCCGCCGGGCTCCGTCCTCAACCTGTCCCGCTCCCGCCGCGCCCTCTCGCCATACGAGCTGTCCTCCCTCTCCGGTTCCGGGGACGAGACAACGGAGCCGTACGCGCCGGAGAACAACTGCCTCCCGCTTAAACTGCGCCACAAGACGCACCTCGGCGACAAGGACGTGGCGAGCGCACTGCTGTCGCTGCAGCACATCAAACAGGAGCCGGGCCCGCGCTCCTCGCCCTCTTGGGACGGGGAGGGCTCGAGCGACGAGCGCGACTCAGGCATATCGCTCGGCGTCGAGTACAGGCCGCAGCGGCCGGAGGACCGCCTCGCCGAGGAAGAGGATGCGCACTTGAAAGCGGAACTGGCGCGGCTCGCCACCGAAGTGGCAACCCTGAAGAACATGATGCACCAGAACAAGGCGCGCGCGCACGAACACTGAAGGCCCTTGCCCACGCGTGGAGCCAACGCCCCGTTCCGCCCAAGCGGCGGCGCGGGTGCCGCTCGTACAAACTGTCTCAGCCCCTCCCGAGCAGACGTAGTTACCACGTTGTAAAGAGATGATTTATATTTGTATGATATTGCGCAGCTGCACGCGACAAAGTCGCATCGCCCAACTGTAATCCTTCCTAGTAGTTTTATGAGTCGGTGTGTCCCGTTTTGTCGAGACGTCGAGCCCGCCGTTTCGACCCGAGACCAACTAACTGTTCGGTAGCAGACTTTTCGAGCAGATAAAACTTATCTACTCAGTGATAGATTTAAAAAATGCATTTTTAGTGGTGAGCTATGTGTATATGTTATGTAATAAGTAAGCACAGTAGATCTGTTTCATCTATTCGAAGACTCGGTGATGAAAACCGATGGCTAAAGACTAAGTTCTATCTAAGTGCTAGATATAAGTAGATGTAAGTAAACTTAAGTCCAACATAGATTGTTATTTATAAATCCTTAATGTTATATAGTCTTTCTCAATCGGAATGTCCGTAAGTTCCAAACCAAAAAAAAATATGAGATAGATCCTCGTATGCTGTCATGAAATCGCAAAATAATTTTAAGACTCGTCAAATACTTATCGTAATCCAAAAGTTTTGATCAGAATGAGAATACCAGTGCCTTCGACAATACATACCTACCTTTAAAATAGTTATTTAATATAATATTTTTGTACATTTCTTAATAAAAAAAAACCTTTGCGATTTCATTAACATGTTCCGATGTATAACTCAGCAGGCCTTTACCATTTTTTCCCGACACTTAACGATTTGATCGTGAAGTGAGAATTTGCCGAGAAATGCGTACGTGCAAGCGCAAAGCGTTGTAAAGTTTTCCATCATTGTACATTTCACAATAAACATTGCCAAATGATATTGTCGAGAAAACTTGGTTCGTCATCAAACCTTGGTTATCAAACCCTAAAAGGCTGGGCGGAAGTATTTCAGTTTTATTGTAAGCGTTTACTCCTAGTAATGCCCTGAAGAGCATGTGATAGGACTCAAGGGAGTTTATACTAAGTATTTATTTATTCGGACCGTGAAAGAGGATTTTACAATTTATATCTTTGTATAAGAGACACTATACGATATGAATAAATTGTGTACATTACAATTAAAATATGAATTTTATTTTACACACATCACCCATGATAAAAATGACACTATAGAACAGAGAAAAAAACTAAAAGAACTCATAGTTTATGATAGGCCTTACTGAATTTTGATTATAAAAAGTTAGTAGGTATATAAGCTATATATCCTAACTTTATACTAGCGACACGCCCCGGCTTCGCACGGGTGCAATGCTGAATGTTTGTTTTCAACATCTCATTAGAAACTCTAAAATTATCAGCGTTTTTCTAGTACGGTATATTATGCATGAATTGTACATATTAACCTTCCTGTTGAATCAATATCTATTAAAGAAAACCGCATCAAAATCCGTTGCATAGTATTAAAGATCTAAGCATATACAGGGACATACAAACAGTGGGACGACTTTGATTTATACCATGTAGTGATAATATAAACCCTGCGATAAATAAATCCCTTACTAAGAGTATTTAGGTTTATAAAATTTAAATTCTTAAGATAACAGTAAAACTTGTATAATGATTCAAAAATAAGTTATTAAGTAAAAATTAAATTTTAAAGTGACACAGAATTCTTGATTCTGTACTAGAAAATCAAAATTATTTATTTTATAATAAAAAAATTAACTATTTAAATGCATAGCTATGTAATATACAAAAGTAATTTCTTGTATGATTACTTAAAATTAATGTAACAGCCTACAAATGTCCCACAGCTGGGCAAAGAGCCTCTGTACAAAGTGTATTAGGGTCCATATTCCACCAAGCGATGGTATCGGCGTACTTCACATATCTTGGTTTTTTTTTTTCTTTTAAAAATAAACAAACTCCTATTTTAGAAATTTTTACTTCGGCATGTGAAAAGTCAGTATAATTTTGGCATCGGGAATCGAACTCAAATTGTTCGAGTGCATTGAATTAAAAGCGAGCGGCCGGATACCAAGCTATCGCGGCTAATGACTTAGCATTAACAAATATTCGGCATGTTATGAATACCAATACGAATTAGAATCTGCATTATTTAGTAGGGGTCAAGATATTAAAGCAGCAGTTAGTATTTAACGACGCTGGCCATTTGTATTTTCTTATACATACTCATGAACAGGGAAGAATAGTTTTGCAATTCGATCTGCGAGCGAGCTCATATCTAGACATAGTATAGAAGTAATTGTAAATATAAAGATGGTGAACATCTGTTCTTTTTATAGGTAGACTCTTCAACCGAGAACTAATATAAGTTATAACTCATCTGTGTTGAAATCACGGAGCTGCAACAACTTTCCAGTTAGTGACCGCTTGCCATGGACATTTGCTACACCATGGATTGCTGATGCGTTGCCAGTTTTTAATAAAATGGGCCCCGGCTACCGCAGTCACCAGACGACACGCAGAAGTAAGACACTTCCGTTTTACGCCGGTCTTCTGTGAGGTCGTGATACTTGCGCGGACGTGGCTGCCTATTCGTATAATAGCGAAGAACTGCGTGGCCCTGTCACAGTACAGTTTGCTGTCATTAGGCAACTAGGTCTTGTGTGGAAGTCGACCACGACCTAACGAACGACCGAAGTAAGGCACCCACACATGTGTTTAACGGTCTATATCTTTATAGAGTGACCTAACTACTGGTTCTCGTTAACATTTCAGGAGTGCAATTTCATCGCGAAATTTCATCTAGTTGACAGTTGGCACGGTGCTCGTCTATATACGCGCTGAGAAAAGCGTGATTGGGGCGAGCGTTTACGGAATCCAAAATAACCAAGCAACTTGTGCGTGGATGCAACACAACTAAAGGCTTAAATGCAAGGCGACATTATCAAGTCTGACCGTGCAGTTATTGTGATACCACCAAAAAGATTTGAATAAAACGTTTGCAATAGTTTGTGTGTTGCTTTAAACCAATGTTTGTAGTAGCATCCTCTAGCCAATTTGTCTTGAGTTTGAAGTGAAATGGAACCCATCATATAATATGAGAGTGAGTAGAATACGTCGCAGCCTAGTTAAAAAATTATAGGAGTGTGTTGTATCTCGCTCAGCGCACGAAAAGAAAGTTTTTTTTTTAAATATTAAGTAACAAGGAAGCTGCCAGTTCACCTGATGTTGAGTGATAACCGCTGCCCATTGAGACTAGCAACAGTATCTGTTCTCTGTATCTACACAGAGAACAGATACGTTCCAATCTTTTAATGAAAATGGCTACGGCTACCTCATTTAGACGGAATGCAAAAATATAACACTTCCGTGGTACTTACCCGGACGGACCTGCCCATTCGTGTAAAGAACACACGCTTGAGTACGTGACCTTACCACGCAAGTGTTATAACAAGGCTCGAGATTGCATTCTCGCAAGACGCTCGCACAACGCGTGTATTTCTGTCAGGTGACCCGGTTACATATTACGTACTCGGCACAGGTATTCCGTCAGCTTCGAAAACGGGTGAACAATATTCCTATTTGTATTATTACAATTATATACGACAAATGATTACGATGTGACAGCTCTTTAATTGACTGCGCAATGCAGGTAATTTCTAGAATCTAGGGTATATATATGAAAGCTTGTATCTTGTATTAACTGATGTGTTTGTTTTCAGTCCTGAAACTATTAAAGCTTCATCTGACGCAGAAGCGATGGGCTAGCCAGAACCCACGGGTTTGGTACATGAAAGCAAGCTAAGGAGTGCATTAAACTGTCCACTCTTCAACCAATATCGAAAATGAAGGCCAAATACTTTTCATTGAACTATTAATTCAAGAAATGATTAAATTCTAGAAAGGATTTTTTTTGTTGTTTAACATCAATTCATTTTTTCTTTAAAATGCATAAGTTAAATAAAAGTTAAAATGTGTAGATAAGTTGTCAAAAATTATTTCACAAAAAGCGACATCTCCAGTTTTTTTGTTGAAGTTTGTTTGCTTTACAGGAAGCTGAATATAAAGCCAGAATTGTTAAATATGCAATAAAAACACAGTATCTATATTCATTGGAAGTAACGGTGATTTTCGCGCGGTGAGGATATAGACTGTTTAGCTTAGTGCTGCTTGCTGGACGTGCTATTTTGTTTTGTTTTTTTTTTTTTTTTAAGATTTTTTCCATTACAGTTTAATCTCAGTTTATATTAGTTATTAAGTTAAGTTGTTTTATTGTCCTTTTGCTGTTCGATTTAAATGCATGATGTCTACATCTAGAAGAATCCACTTTTGAGTTTGGAACAATAGGAAGCTTATATGAGCTTATGTAAAGGTTGTATTCAGTTTTGTAGACCTAACAAAGAGAAAAAAAATCGCAGAGTACCATCGACACCGCCTTTATGGTTGGCGATTTCACGGCACCAGTTCTCGCCAGCGGTATTTCCGGACCGAAACCACTTTGGTATCTTCAAGAAGTGAGCCTATTCCTAACTTTTTTTTTAATGTGAACAGTTGCCAAGCGAACAGATGGTTCACCTGATGCTAAGTGAATACCGTCGCCCATGGACATCTAGAACCCTGTAGTAGGGCCACGCAGCAGCCTCGGCTGTTGCACGAATGGGCAGGCTCGTTCGGGTAAGTACCACGACCTCACAGAAGACCGGCATGAAATAGAAGTATAATACTTTCGCGTTTCGTCTGGTGAGTGAGGTGGCCGGAGCCCAATTTCCAAAAGGTTGTCAATATATCTGGGACCCTCGAGTGTAGCAGATGTCCATGGACGACGGTATTCACTTAACATCAGGTGAACCGTCTGCTCGTTTGGCAACTTTCCACATAAAAATAAAATTGGGCTCCGTCTATCTCACTCACCAGATGAAACGCGAAAGTATTATACTTCCACTTTACGCCGGTCTTCTGTGAGGTCGTGGTACTTACCCGGACGAGCCTACACATTCGTGCAACAGCCGAGGCTGCTGCGTGGCCCTACCACCGTTAAAAACAGCAACGCAAATGACTCCTCAGTTGTTGCAAATTTCCATGGGCGGCGGTGATCGCTTACCACCTGGTGACGAGCTTTCTTGTTTGCCTTCTTTTTTCATAAAAGAATACACTCTCTGGTCCAACGACCTTGACGGATTAAAATATGACGCGACATCAGACTTGTCCTAATTGTGGAACTGATGCTATTATATTAAATACCTATCATGTAACTGTGGTAGCGTCAAGTAACAGCTTCGAATGTTGCACGAATGGGCAGGTCCATCCGCGTAAGTACCACGACCACACAGAAGACCGGCGTAAAACGGAAGTGTCATTACTTCTGCGTTTCGTCTGTTAAGTGAGGTAGCCGGGGCCCAATTTATAAAATGGCAACGCATCTGCAACACTTCGCGTGTTGCAAATGTCCATGGGCGGCATTTATCGCATTAACATCAGGTGAACCGCACGTTCGCTTGCCACCTACTCACATAAAAAATACTGTAATTGTTTTAATTCTAAAATACACATACACATTACATATATCTCGTTTCTCTTATTAGTTGCTTTCAATTTTTAAATACTGGAACAAACACACGGTTGTAAGTTATTAAGATCATGATCGAGATGAAGACATCGTTTTATTTCATAAGGAGAAATTGCAGCAGTAATGAAGCAGTTCATTGAGTTGACTGATTTAAAATTTTCATAGTGCCATTCTCTTAAGATGAAAAATTTAAATTTGTAGAAAAATGGACGAAAACGTCCCTAAGCCGTCAACTAAGCTAACCCTGGCCACACCGACGAAAATCTCAACGTGTTTCGCATTTCAAGTTTCAAGTAAAGCTTGACGCATCTTATCTATCCTATACAGCATACAAATAACTCCAAATATCGTTTCGATTCTCGCAGCGGCGAGTAACTGTTCGTCCTTAAATCTTTAAATTTTAATATAGTTATCTGATTTTCAAGAAAGCTTACAAGGCACAATATATATTTTAATTGATATCTATGGTAAACTAACATTTTAACACTAGCGTTCATACGCTAATTTAAACTGAAATGAATCGATTATAACGAAGGAAGGTCAGCCACATAAAACTTTATTGTTACAGACAGATATAAGTAATGTATACGATGAGGTTACACAAGATAAAAATACTTAATAGCTTACAATGATAATGTTGATATCGCACAAAAAGTTAAAACTTTATACGCGGGTCTATCAATCGTTTCTGGATGAAAGCACCAAAGTAATAAAAATCGAAATCATATTTACGTGCAATAGTTATACATAACATTTACATGAGAGAACAAATTCATTGAAAATCGAAGACGAAAATAATTTATAGAGTTATAACAAAAACTGATATTCACCTGATAACAGTTTTTTGGAAGTTAAGCATTTTTTTTAAATTAATTCACATTTTTGAATATTTATCAAGCCTTACAAATAGGAAAACGGTCACAATAGTTTTTATATTAAGTTATACATAATAATTATCACTACTACTGTACTGAATACGCTATTTGAATAATTTTTTTAATTCTTCGACTGAACGTCAAGTCAAAGACTTTGTGTCACTGAGAATACAGACTAAAAAGAGCACTCATCATATTTGTGCACTCTATTCTAATTTGTTTTGGCTCTACTAATTTATGTTACGATATTTATAAGATAAATAAGTACATGTATGTATTTTATAACGATTCCATCGTTTAACGAATAAATTTAATCAAATTTAACTACAACACAGATTTAAATTATTAAAAAATATTCTCTAAATCCATATTGAATATGATTTAACATTTTTTAAAAAGCCTAAGCAATGGAAGGTTTTATTTAGTTTATACGAAATAAAATTAATGTAAATAGCATTTTACAGCCAATACGAAAAATATAATAAATGGGATAATCATAAAAAAAGTTTTTAAATTACAACTTCTATGCGTTTAAAAACTATTTCCAAATGCTGAAGTGATAATAATTCACACAAACATTAAGGTCTAACTAATAAATGTAGTTTTTAATCTGTAGTTATAAAATAGGAAAAGTAAATATTAAAATTTAAGTCAAGAGGGAGTCTTGTATTATATAAAACTAACAATAAATGTTCATGATTAACGTTTTTTGTGAAAAATTTAAAAGTTAAGTATAATAGCGCATCTTCAAAGGTTTTTTAATCTTTTGCAAATCGCCGTGCAGCCAATGATGACTCGGAAAAATCTAAATTTTTTTTAATTTACAACATGGCCTCTTGCATTCTTAATACTGCGGAGTATTTAATAAAGTAAACTAACCTTGTATTTAAAGCTTAACAAATAATATTGTTTAATTGCATCGTAAAACAAACGTTGTCAAATTAACATATCTCATATGTTTCATTATCTCAGAAAAAAATTATCAAAATCTTCTGATTATTACCATCTTTTTATATATAACATACATACCTTTATTTTGATCATGGATGTTTATGTTTATCCATGTTCCATCCAAATATGTTTTAAAACTATACATAATAAGTGTAGTTTTATAAAAATACGCATTTATGTTTTTATAAAACTACAAATTTTATGTGCAGTTTAATAATTATTTAATTATCTATCTAATCATGATTTAAATGTTTCATATGTACGTGTATAATGTAAACGAACAATATATATCAAAAGCTTCGTAATCAAATAATCAAGCTTTTACAACAGATGACACGATACGTCCGTTGCTGCTGACGTCTGAAATTGGAATGAATGCCTCACTGCCCGATTTACTTGCGGCACGCTACGTCTCACTCGCGCTTATGACTCTTTCATTGAGCGAGAGCGGGACCGCAAGTTCTCGTTCGGGCAGTGGGCCGAATCTCACTCGTTGGCCAGGCTGGGGACCATTTCGCCGCAGCTCAGTGGGTGTGCGGTGTGCAAAATGGACTTTGGGATCAGCGGAGCTCGAAGTTTGGCCGAGCTAAGCTCGTTACTCTGCACCCACAACTCCAACTGGAAGGTAATATATTGAATAAAATTAATCATCAAATTAACGAATATTAATTTATAAACCTAGTTTGTTCTCTTACCTAGATGATAATTTAACTTTGTTATCAAAAATAAATTAATTACATAATTACTATATGACTCTACCACAAATAAACTGTCATAAAATAACATGTAATCAAAATATACAGCGTGTCTTTACAATCGCGACAATAAATGAACACACATATAGGGGAAAACTTTTTAAAATTGTATTAAACATTAACATTATTGCAACATCAATATTTACAGTTATTAAATTTTCTAAAACAATGAATTTTAGAACACCCTTACGTATAAAACTGTAACGTAAAGTTCATTTGTAAAGGTCACAAAGCATATGAATGGGTTGAATGAATTTAAAAGAGACAAAACATACTGTTAGAAGGAGAGGCTTGTAACGCGACGCTGTGGCGCGAGTTGTATAGGATGTTACAAATTTTGTTACTTTTTTACTTAATTAGTTTTTTTGAAAAATATTTTTTTAATTATGGATTTTGTTTAACGTTAATATTTTTTTATGATTATTGGCAAGTAGCATTAGACGTGTGTTCATTTATTGTCGCGATGGCATCGACACGCTGTATATCAAAATTTATTTTTAGTGCTATTGCCTGCCCTCAAAATGAAACTTAAAATGCTATTTTTATGTTTCATGTATAGGACAGATAAATGTGAGGTTATCATCCGCTTAGCTTAGTTGGTAAAGCGAGAAACCCGGATGAAGCAGGTTCGAAATCCCGCAGCGCCGAATTTTTTTTCTCAATTTCTCCACGAAAATGTACATTTTGAATATTTTTTTTATATCGAAAACATTTAACGATTCCTTCATGGATCGGCATGTGATAAACCAGCACTTAAGGTTGCAACATAAAATCGCTACAACTCACTGGTGACGGCACTGGGTTTGAACGCAGGCTCGACCATACCGAATTACAATCTATCGCCAGGAGGCAGAGCCATCGCGGCCGTGTATCCGGCATTATATTGCCGTCTCTTTCTCATCAAATGCCGTCTCTTTCGCCCCCACCTCGGGCGGCATCTTGTCGGGCGGGCTTCGACAGGCGCCCGCGCAGTGTAGCTGCAGCAGTAGCTCCGCTATGGCGGCCGCTGATGTATCGATGACGCGCTGGCGGCAGACGGCCACCGCGTGGACGAAACCCCCGGGGCCCACAAACTCGTGCTCCATGAACAGCGTGCGCTCGTCCCAGTACACAGCCTGGCCACAACCGGTGTTGGTTGACCGATTGAAAACTCTTTATTGCACCAAATTAACTGCTCTACGATCTTACGGCTGTTGCACGAATGCGCGGGTCCGTCCGGGTTAGAACCACGAACTCGTAGAAGAAGCGTGAAGCAGCGAGAAGTGGAAGCGTCATACTTCTGAGTTTCGGCTGGTCAGCTTCTTTATTAAAAGGTGGCAACGCATCTGCTACTCTAGGGGTGTAGCAAATGTCCATAGGCGGAGGTTATGGCTTAACATGAGGTGAATCGTTAGCCCGCTTGCCAACTTCTCACACAAAAATAACTTTGTGAGAAGGTGGCAAGCGAGTGATAACCGCCTCACATGGAGTGCAACATCCGTGCGGTTGTAGATGCGTCGCCAGATTTTAATGTTTTTCGAACGGAATAGTATTTGGGCGCTGACCAGTTCGTATATCCAAATTCTATTAAATTCACTAAATCCAACTATCCCAATATCTGGAATTTATAGTATAGCATTCGAAATGGCCTGTTCGTTGAAAATAAAGCGTTACCCCACTCCTCTCAACCATTCTGATTCCTGGGCACGTAGCAGCTTCAGCTGTTGCGTGCACGAACCGGTAGACGCATCCGGAAAAGTATCACGGCCTCAGAATAGACCGGTGGAGGTATTACATTTTCGCGTTTCGTCTTTTCACATAAAAGAAAGAACCGATTACTCGGCTCCATAAAGGGGCAGTTATTCAGGACCCTATGTACATGAAATATAATAGAAGATGACATGCAAAAATCCATCCCCGCTACATCTTCATCGAACTATCCTGGCACACCTTAGACGTGATCTTGAAACGCGTGAACGGCTTAAGGTAGCGGCGGTAGCGGATCGTCGCAGCCGCTTGCACCACCGCACCGCCTGCGGCTCGTATGTTCGCGTATAGGCCGGTGCGTTCGTAGAAGTCGGCCCGCGCGAAATCCAGCTCGCGGAGGTAGCGCGCATTGTTCATATGGTACAGGAGTGTGTCGATGTCCGTCAGGAGGCACCAAGCTGCGAAGTCGAAGCGACATGGTTTCACAAGTAGCCAGTCAACAAGCATCGGTATCACGTTAATAGTTTTCATTGAACTACGATCAGGATCAGTTCCATAGCTTTTGCTGTTGTTCTTTACCGAGTGGAAGAACACCATCATCGCTGGGTCCACGTTGAAGAACAAGCGGGACAATTTTCTAATACGTTTCAACGCATAGTTTGCATATACCATTTCATTGATATTTTTCACAAAGCATTGCGATTTGAATGACACGACAAACGCAAGTCATGTCTGCTTTAGAAACACAAGACTTTATGCAACAGACGTGCAAGGGATTGCATATCTTAAAACAAAACTGAAGCAAGTGGTTAAGGGCGTAATGAATATATTTCCCTAGGGTTTGAAACTGTCTTTGGTGAATGAACTACAATTAGAGGTTTGTTGGTCTTTTTGCCATTGATGTGAATGTTACGCCAAATCATGAAGAACACTAATGACATCCCTATAATAAGACAGACGTTCAAGATTCCCACACGGGACAACTATTTGTGTGACACATATTTTTCTTGTATTTGTTTCGGATCTGTCCACGTGAAATTTATGTACTTACGTAAAACGTCCTTACAACACAGGATAATATTATCCTACCATTAGAGCAATAAAAAAAACACCCATATGAAAATTAAATTTAGGATAACTCTTTTAATCTGTAGTGATTTGATTTTAGTCTATCTTATTTATTATTCACCTTTAATAGTTTCGCCCTTACTTTGATGTTAGTTTAAAGTTTGACAAAAAAATCAATATGTTTTTTTTAAACCTCCACTGTAGCTTAACATTATCCGACATTATAGAAGCGTTTTACCGATGGACTTCTGTATGGTTTTGGACGGAGACAGATGTTTCATCTTCATTGACGGCTGACTCAACTCACAGTGCACCTCCGTGGTCTCCAAGATGCACGCCTTCTTCCTGAAGTAGCGGGCGCGCGCCACCGTGAACATCATCCGGGCGAAGTAGGCCACGTCCAGGGTCCCGTACAGCAGCAGGGTGCCGGCCACCATCGCCGCGCCCCAACCGGGCAGGCACACCGACCACATCGTCCTTGCGGTGAACTAACTGAACATTTATCTAAATCAAAATCAAACTCAAAATTTCTTACAATACAGGCTCATTTTAAGTTTTTTAAGCTCTTATTGAACGCCAAAAACGATAGGTTCACTAAAATATACCTGCCCAGAGAAGAACAGAAGACAAGAAACACTGTCGTTTTGTTATATTTTTTAGGGTTCTATACCCAAAGGGTACGTATTTTACCCCCGTTTTGGTACATTATTAAGTCTGTATGTCTGTCTGCCCAACTATCACCAGGCTATATGTATTTTTTTGCCGGGCGCGAGTAAGACTTGCACTTTAAATGCGAGTTTATGAAGCAAAATTGTAATAAATTTTTCCAACACGGCGTCCTCACAGAAATAAAAGTTTGGAGGACATACAAAGGACATACATCTTGTAATTTCTTGGAGCCGCGAAAGAAACTGATATGCAGGGTAGACATCTTGTAATTTCTTGGAACCGCGAAATAAACTGATATGTAAAGTGATTTTTGTATAAAATAGTATCAGAGTCAAAAAGTAACTTCCAACTAAAAGTTCTGACCTTTGTTTATGAGCATGTACCAATTTTTTAATTTTGTATTTATCTTCAGGACTGCAGCGGTAATTAAACTCTGTCAGTCCAAAATAAATAACATTATTTATATAATACTTAAGCGCCTGAAAGAATGTTTTAGCAATTAACATCCACTGACTGCATTGTTTTTAATTTCTCGTAGGAATTAATAAAATATGTCACTTAAGTTAGTTAAGTGTACACCGAGACTTATAGAGTAACAAATACAGATTCAGACCACTACTGTTTTATTAATTACGTACGGTTCGTTTCAGAACCTAGTAATAATCCGTTTTAGAAGTCGGTAGTACATAGAAGGTTTATATACATTGATATGATCATAGCCTTGGAGTTGATGAAACTTATTAGTTTTCTTTTAGATTATATGTGTATAACAATTTCGTTCCGTATGGTTAAGAAATCTAAAATGTTAGTATATTTTACAACACCCGTAGGGTCGCAAATGCGTTGCCACTTTTAAATAAAGTGGGCCCTGGCTACCTCACTCACCAGATGAAACGCAGGAGTAGCACTTCCACTTTACACCGGTCTTCTGTGAGGCCGTGGTAATTACCCGGACGGACCTGCCCATTCGTGCAACAGTGAAAACTGTTGCGTGGCCCTACCACAGTTACTGATCGCCTTAGTATAATTCTAGTTTTGTTACTCGCATAAAATAATCAGTAACTGCACTGCTACAATAATATTTTGTTGACTATAAATAATATCAAAAGAATCGCCTTTAGATATCGAGACAGCTAGTCCTTGTAAAACAGTATTTGCTCAATCAGTTTAACCTCAAGTTGATTTGTGAAAATACTCGTTTTCTCTATTTCGATCGAGTTAAATTCCAGGTAACACGTATTTCTAAATTATGCTTGCTGTTTATAATATTGGACTGATATTAGTGATTTAATCAGTCCCGTAACTTTGAATGTTATAATTTCATATAGAATCGAACGATAACAGGTCACTTGAATAAATAGGTCAAGATAAAAATGACCTAATCGTTCTTACTACGCGATAAATGTTTGCTAAAAGCCGTATCGGAACTTAAAAATTGTTTTGTTATTATTATTATTTTTAATCTTATTACCTTATCAAATGTAAAAGCAAATAATCGTCAAACTCAAACTTACCTCTCTTGTAAGCCGGTAAAGCGTACAATTCAAATGTCCATTATAATTAAAATTTGAAATGCTTCTCCAACTAATTTTCACAGTATTAGTAACAATTTACATAGGTTAGAAATATAATACTTTAGAAATTTAACAGAAAAAATAACCTCGTAGCACTGGTTGTGGATTTTCATGTACAAAATTTTAGTGACACTTTTCAAATGCGCGCGCAGTTCGATCCGTATTGCAGTGACGTCTCTATGGAAAGGGATTATTTAATACTAAACCATAATGTCATAGCAATAAAGCTTTTGCCAATACTGTGCGTCTTTTTAATTCATACACTACTAATGCAATTATCTGAAAATACGATAAAAGTAAAACTGTGAGACAGTTTGTAAAATAATAGGAAAACTGTAACAATAACTTTTGAGCATGGATAATTTGGTAAAAGGGTAACAAAACGCTGCCTAGTCCTAATGTAATGTCGCCATTTTAACAAGAAAATCCACTTCATCACTCAAGTTCGCTCCACTGACTTAAAAACATGTCCTATAAGAATTTCGACTTTGCAAAATAACTTCCTTTATAATCATAATCAACTATGATCATAATTTATGCATCCTGCCCGTCACTTGTAACTTTTATGCATCAAAATGAAATTAAAACTCGAAAATTTTCTTGTCTATGTCCAATCAGAAGCCTAAAGGAAGCTCATGTTATATTGGACAAGGGAGCAAAGACGATATTTGTGTACGAGACGCTTTGCGATGTCGTGTCGGTGACCTCAACGGTATACTTCTGTCTCCGTCAGATATATATAGGAGGATAGAGATGGAGCTAGAATATCCGATCCGACATTTTAACGCATGTTAGTGACGTGTCAGATAGGAGAGTGTAAACAGTGCATCTTGTTTAATAATATTAGTTTCTTAGTAACAAATGCGCTAAAAAAGACTTGTGAACATCGTCTATGATGCCTAAAGAATTTAAGTATGATGTTATTCAACTTATTCAATGCGTTCGGGATCGTCCGTGTCTTTGGGACAAATCGTTGGAAAATTATAAAGATCGAGTGGAAAGGAGAACTGCGTGGGAAGAGATATTCGGCATTTTGGATCATACGTACGAACGGATGTCACTGGAGGATAAGAGAATTACGGGTAATAATGTTGTTCAAAATAATTTCTCAACACAAATTTATTAATAACGTAATTCTCAATATAAAAATTTTTAAACTAATCTTACGCCTCGAATGTGAGTTTACATTGATGTATTATTTGTTAAACACGGACAGTCTAGTCCGTGACGATAAATTATAATATGAATATAATGAGTTTTTCATTCGGAGCTTTGTTTTTTTTTTTTTTTTTTAATTTTACGAAGTAAATCTTTATTGATCTAATATTTACAAGATTAAATCTATCTAAAATTACATATTATCTATGAGCTTTGTTTGAAATGAAGTCAATTATTTTAAGCTTAGATTTTTTAACAACAAATTTTTAAGTTCAAAGTTAAAAACTTCTTGACCAATGAGTCGCACAAAATAACATTCAATACAAAGATAAGAAGGTAACGGTGTAAAAAACACCATGATCCGTTAAGGTGATTGATGTGTGTTCCGTACCCAAAGGCTAGAATGGGACCCCATTATTAAGACTTCGCCGTCTGTCCGTCTGTCCGTTATAGTAAGATAGTTGAAATTTTCACAGATGATGTATTTCTGTTGCCACTATAACAAAAAATACTAAAAATCAGGATAAAAAAATATTTAAGTGGGACTGCCATACAACTGACATGATTTTTGCAGTTTTTACGTTAGTACGGAACCATTATGTATAAAAATCAGTCTTCGTGCGCGAAACCGACTCACACTTGCCGGTTTCTTTTTCTCTGAGAAGATGGCAAACCAGCTGACGGTTCACCTGATGGTAAGTGATAACCGCTGCCCATGGACATTTGCCACATCCGTAGCGTTGCAGATGCATATGTTTGTGTTTCGTGGCCCTACCGCAGTAAATCTTGGAAATATTTTGTGTATGTATAATAAATGTCTTTCCCTATCACTGTGTGAATAAAGGATAGGCATATCCACATTTCTTTCAATAGTTTTTTAGGTCAAGTTTGAGTTCATACAATCGTTTTAGTTCATACAATATATTGGCTTTGTTTCTAGGTGAGCTCATATTAAACAAATGGACAAACATACGCGACACTTTCGTCAAGACCCTAAAGATTAAAATGGGCAAGCCCAAGAAAAAATACCTTTTCCATGACCACTTGAAATTCCTAACGAAGGTAACGCGCGAGGAGGAATGCCCTGTCGAATACAATGTTGATGTGCCCCTATCGTTTTTCAAAATGGAAAGAGAGGAAAGGGTTAGATCTAACGGCCACAGCAGGAAAAGGGCACGGCATACAGAAGACGAGGAAGAGGGGAGGACGCCAGCCAGAGAATTGGATCAAAACAGCGACATGGATCTGACGTACGTCGATGAAACAAACGACCCGAGGGTCATGAACGAAGACGAAGCATTTTTTGCATCGCTCCTGCCAACCGTTGTGAAATACAACGAAGATGAGAGGCTAGAGTTTAGAATGGAAGTACTTGGCGTAATGAAAAGTATAAAAGAGAAAAGAAAGTGGCACGAGGACAACTGATACAGTGTTCAATAAGATTGGCCAGAAACAATTTTGTGGTTAAGGCCACACACATTATGCCATGCCGGCAGACGGAATGTATTATGAGACCTGCCGTACCAGTGTCAACGTAGGCTAGACGATGTGTTGAGAATTAAAAAAGTCAATGCCTACTTTTATTGAGGCTTATATTACACTAGGGACCCGCCCCGGCTTGGCACGGGTGCAATGTATTATACATATATTCCTTCCTCTTGAATCGCTTTATCTAATAAAAAACCACATCAAGATCCGTTGTGTCGTTTTAAAGATCTAAGCATACATAGGGACAGACAGACAGCGGGACGACTTTGTTTTATACTATGTAGTGATTGTCTTTGACGTTTGATTCTGATCTACCATAGATTTATTAATTAAGATCGGTCCAGTGTAGGAACAACACAAATGTACAATACAATATTCGTCTTTATATAAAAATATATGGAGTTTCGGTCGGTTGGTCTCCTTTGTGAAAAACAAGTACTTTTCTTGTTACTTTTTATCCGCGGGTAATACATATATCGCATATTGTTGCCAATTAAATTTACGTTAACAATTTGCAACGTAGTGATTACATTCTCTTTGACAATTTGCATACTGTCGACTCGAAGTCAAATGTTTGGCGAATATTTCCTTAGAAATTTATTTTATATTTATTTTACAAATATGATGATGGAAATTATAATTATAAAGAAAAAAATTATAATCATTGAATCATTTATTAATTAAATTATTCCGTTTTATTTTATGGTGCATTCGATAAAAATGCAAGGATGTATGCACATTGCCTTATTAATTTAAACCTTTTCCAAGTATCATTAGAGTCTTGAAGATGATCGGCAAAAATGGGAGACTACATATTAGGAAATTATTGGGCAGATATACTTACTTTTTGTCAGTATTTATATTAAAACATTATCTGACAACATTGAAATAATATATTGTAAAAAGTAGTGTCGAATCAGATAATATTTTTAAAAAATCATCAACATAATTTCGGCCTGTTTGAATCCACTTCTGAACATGTCTTCCCCATAAACGGCTACGAAGTACGAAACACCTGAAGAGTTCTTTCTTCTTCATAAAGATAGCCAGCTGCTTCGTTTTTATTCTTTCCTAGTTTTGCGTTGAAATCCACCATTAACACCATGTACTGAGTTTTGCAGGAACGTATGGCTATCATATATCCTCAAACATTGCCTCCACCTCACATAGGGGTGTGTAGACGATTTATTTTATAGATAATTTTTTTTTATTATTTTTATTGTTTACGAAACATTAACAAAATATATATATATATTTAGAGGATATGACTATCAAGTCCATAAATCCGCGGTGGGGTCGCGTGGTGGACTATTTTTTTTTAAAAACACTATGCCCAATACCCTCTTTACAGAGCAGGCCTTTGCCTACCAATGGGACATGTACAGGTTGTTACTTTACTTCTATATTTAATCGGTTTCAGGGTTGTGTTATAAGAAGCCCAGGGCATAAAGATCGTTATTAACAAAGTCGATAGCTGCCGGTGCTTTTTTAATGTGGGTCTATCATCGCACCGAGGAGCCTGCATGTACCGTCTGTATCCGTAGAATAGTAGGGAAAAAGCCGACTTTATCCAGAGTAGGGGCAAACACTGATATCGAAACAGAAGGAAGTAAGTCACAAACTCACAGACCGAGTACATCAGCATTTTATACGGAATTTATTTCAGAAGCATAGACAACGCACTGCGTTGTCTATTGCTCTGATCAACTGAGGCTCTTGGCTGTACTCTTTCACCTCGCACTGTGCAGTTTGTTGACAGCAAAAGCCATGGCCACACATTCAGTAAAACAATTTTTTTAAGAATGGTAGAGCGGAAGCAGGTAATTTCCTATGACAACTGTCAGTGGCGTTCACAGAGACAGGGGGAGAATAAATAATTTCAGTATTGTTTCGATGGGTCTTAGCTGACATACCTTAATCTTGCCGCACGGCTATATTGATGTTTGTTTAGGAACATTATGAATAAGTGATGGATGGTAATAAATAGGTCATTTAAATAATACCTAATCTATATATAATCTATATATTTTTCTTTATTTAATTAATCTTTATTGCCAACTTTAAGTAAAACAGGTAAAGAGCGGACTTAATGCCTAAAGGCATTCTCTATCAATCAACCCGGGATATATGTTCTTTGATATTCTTTGTTTTCTTTGCACAAATTAATTACAGTTCAAAATATATTTAAGTAATGTATTATTTTACGAATTATTAAATGATTACTCTCTACAAGTTAATGGCATATGTGTAAATATTTATGTCACAGTTTTCAGTTTGGTCAGGACGAAATAAAAATAAAATACTCCCATTTAATAGATAAGTTTTAATGACCATTCGTCCGTAGCACTTTTAAAAATAATGTTCACATAATTACAATATATTAGAAACAAAATCGTACGAATCGTAAATTAATAATGAGAGAACCACCTAAACATTAATGAATTAGTAAAATTTACACAGCTAATAAAATATCAAACGTACAATCGAAAAAATATAACAAAAGTTTGAAATAAAGAAACGATTCCCGTAATACTGTGTACGAGTAAGTACCGAAGTGCAGTGGACATCTGCGGTAATACTACCTACAATACACCGGAACAATAACAACATACTGTATTATATTTAAAAAAAACTGGAACCTTACGTTTAAAAATGGCAGAAGAACATGTTTTTTTTTTTTTTATTTAATTAAACCACTAACCTCTTTCATATTTGGAGAAGAAAAACACGTTAACGCTCGAGACTCGATCGAAAACTTTCCCCCATTTCCCCTATCTTAGGCATGGTTTCGTCGTATTCGCTTGGTTCCGCCGGATTGCGATGCGTCCATAACCGTTGCCTCATATCCGCTATCGCAGTAGACAAGTGACACTGAACTGTATTGTTTTTAATACCCGCTTTAAGAATACACGATACGATCATACGTTTACAATTCACTATAAATGCCAACATGCTCGCTAGATTTGCTAAATTCAACCTCTTTCCATCCAAATGTAACTAATCCCCCCCCACCCCCAACCATTCGATCCTTTATGTACAATCCGCCCGACAAATCTCGCCGGAGACGGGAGCAATTCTCAATTTAACCCTAACACGAGTACAGATACTATATATTATACGGATTAGTAATATAACATACCTAACCTGCCTCCTCTATGTACAGAAGCCGATTGAAATACTGCACGTTACAATTGAGTACGACCACTGCATCGATACTAAGACATACGTAAAGTACGTTAGTGACTAGACGGTCCCCAAAGCAAAAAAAGTGGGGGTCAATTGTTTAAAGTTTTTTTTTATACTTTATATATATTTATTTACACGTTTTACACTATCGGATAACGAATTACACTAGCTTAACACAACGCTAATGATACATATTGATCGATCGCCCTTTGGAAACGTAAAGTCAAGCGATATACAGACAGACAGACACCGTCGAGAATGTTGGCACGGAAACATCGAGTCGACGTGTAAACAAAAAAAAATCTCAAAAATATTCAACGTTCAACAATATTAAAGCTCGCATCGTCTTTCAACGCTCAAACGATTTGTGCATTTCCATGGAAGTCGCTTAAAATCTATGCGAATATAATACAGTATCCAAAAAGAGAAAACAAATTGTTAAAAATTCCAAAATATTGGCTCCGAATGAAAGTGGCGAACGCACTGAGGAGAGATATATTCAGTCTAGCATCATCCATGAAGGGCTATAATTAATTAAACACTCATACCGCTACACTAAGAATATATTAAATTCACGTTTGAGTATAGCCTGTTATTTACTAACGGAAACACTTAGCCTACAATGAAGGTAACCTACAGTAATACAATTTTTATACAATCACATATCAATACTAAAAGTTTACATTATAATGAATATATTACAAGGATACAAATGAAACAACAATAAAAACAAAACACCGTCCCGCCGCAATCGACATCGTCACACGCGGGACGGATGGATGGAAGGACGTACGAAGGTGACACGAATCTCAACTTAAGAAACTAATAACACCTAAAATGAACGGGCTCAACGTAAGCTAAACAACAAACGCTATGTACAGAAGGAAAAGACGAGCCCGCACAGGCGCGATAGGAGTGTCGGGCTCAGTGCGCGAAGTCGAGGGCGGGCTTGCGCTGGCGCGGCCGCTTGGGGCGCGGCGGCGCCGGCGAGCCGCCGCAGCAGTGGCAGCCGCGCTTCACCACGCCGCGGCCGGACGCGCGGCGCCGCAGCTCGAGGCCGTGCGCGTCCGGCGCGCGCTCGCCGGCGCGCGTCTTGCCCTCGGCCCCTCCTCCGCCGCAGAGCCGCCGCCGCGCGCCTCCTTGATCACCGAGTCGAGGCGCACGTGCGCGCCCACGCCGCCGGAGTCCGTCGAGTTGTTCTCCTCGTAGGGCGGGCTCCGGCAGCAGCGGTCGCTGTCGCTGCTGAAGTCGAGCGGCCGCCGCTGCGGCGGGCCGCGCGCCCCCTCCCAGAAGAGGGCGCCGCCGCGCTCGGGCGACGAGCGCTCGCCGTCCGCCTCGAAGGGGCCGTCGCGCGAGCTCTCCTCGGCGGGCATCGGGGCGTCGCGGCCGGCGATCGGCGCGTCCGGCTCGTCCATCAAGTAGCGCGCGTCGCGCTTGTCCTCGTCGTAGCACACGCGCCGGATGACTTGCGCTGCGTTGTGCGCCGGGTGCACGATGGTAGACGCCGTGTTGGAGAGGTGCAGCTCCCGCGAGTCGCTCAGGATGCTGTCGAATCGCGTCGGGCCGTCGTCCTTCACGAGGACGGAGGGCAGGCCGAGGCCGGACGCGTGGCCGCCCGCGCCCGTGCTGGTGGAGTTGTCCATGTGCGTGTACCTGATGTTGTGCTGCACCCCGCCGGGGTTGTCGGGCGGCGCTTGGGATATCACGGTGGTCTGCGGCGTCGCCATTAGCACCGTTGCCGGCGCTCGGCCGGCGTGAAATATCGTCGACGTTATTTGCCGGCCGTTCAGTCCTGCTATGGTGACAGGTTGCACCTGAAACAACAAGTGTTAATTCGATGGTAAGTTTGACAGTTTTATGGGATAAAACGAAAGTAACATTCGATTCTACCCAGAATGGGTTTACACTCAGATTTAATATCAACATATACATTCAGATTTAACATTGATACAAATTAAATATGACGTTTGACCCTACACACAAGTTAAATACCGCGGCCTTGTGGGTCTTATAAATCTGATTAACTACAAACATTTTTTTTAATATATTTGATACATAATTAGACGGGTGCCTCTCAGTTAATTCAACAATGGCTCTAATCACAAATGACACTTTCACTAACGGCCCCTGTGCCCATTTGATTAACAGCGAAAACCGTCCGATCAAAATCGCACCTCGCCGTCTTCGCTCGGCTCCCTGTGGAAGGTGGTGTTGGGGTGCGAGCGCGCAAACTCCTCGTGGTCCAGGGCGATGGTCGCCCGCATGCCGTCCTCGCTGACCGTCACGATGCCGACGTCCCCCAGGCCCAGGCTCACGTCCAGCTCCTGGTCGTCGGGCGCCTCGTGCCGCTGCAGCAGGTGGTCGGTGGCGATCTGGTCGTCCACGTCGGGCTGGGGCTGGCTGACACCCTGGCTGAGTACAGTCGGCTGAGCTGGAACGACGCAACCAACAACAATTAGGAATGGATGAACGCTTGAATCGGCAGTACAAGCATGCTTTAAAGCATGGTTTGGTATAAATAATATTTTTATGTGAGGTCCGAAACAAATATCAAACCCATTTTTATATGAGTGTTTTTGGTTTGACAAACAAAAAGAGGCAATGGGCGTAAGTGAGTAGAGATCGTGTCACTCACGCGTGTGCGAGTGGTGAGAGTTATGGTCATGCGCGTACCCATTTTATGTGTTTTAGGTTTGACAAACAAAAAGAGGCACTGGGCGTAAGTGATTAGGGATCGTGTCACTCACGCGTGTGCGAGTGGTGCGAGTGGTGGGAGTTGTGGTCGTGCGCGTACCCATTTTATGTGTTTTAGGTTTGACAAACAAAAAGAGGCACTGAGCGTAAGTGATTAGGGATCGTGTCACTCACGCGTGTGGGATCGTGTCAGTGGCGAGTGGTGCGAGTGTGGTCGTGCGCGTATCCATTTTATGTGGTAAGTGATTAGGGATCGAGTTGCGAGTTGTGGTCGTGCGCGTACCCATTTTATGTGTTTTAGGTTTGACAAACAAAAAGAGGCACTGGGCGTAAGTGAGTAGGGATCGTGTCACTCACGCGTGTGCGAGTGGTGGGAGTTGTGGTCGTGCGCGTATCCATTTTGTGTTTTATTTAGGTTTGACAAACAAAAAGAGGCACTGGGTGTAAGTGATTAGGGATCGTGTCACTCACGCGTGTGCGAGTGGTGCGAGTGGTGCGAGTTGTGGTCATGCGCGTACCCATTTTATGTGTTTTAGGTTTGACAAACAAAAAGAGGCACTGGGCGTAAGTGAGTAGGGATCGTGTCACTCACGCGTGTGCGAGTGGTGCGAGTGGTGGGAGTTGTGGTCGTGCGCGTATCCATTTTATGTGTTTTAGGTTTGACAAACAAAAAGAGGAAATGGGCGTAAGTGAGTAGGGATCGTGTCACTCACGCGTGTGCGAGTGGTGCGAGTGGTGGGAGTTGTGGTCGTGCGCGTATCCATTTTATGTGTTTTAGGTTTGACAAACAAAAAGAGGCACTGGGCGTAAGTGAGTAGGGATCGTGTCACTCACGCGTGTGCGAGTGGTGCGAGTGGTGGGAGTTGTGGTCGTGCGCTTGGTCGGGCGCCGGCGAGCCGGAGAAGAGGAGCTCCGCTTCGGGGAAGAGCTCCGATGCGGACGGCGAGTCCACGCCGAGGTCCTCGCATTCCTCGGACAGCGATTTCTGGAACAGTCGACGAACACACGTATACACTAATTGATGACTCCGTGGCGCTGTCGCCAAGGTATTGGTTTCGGCGTCGGGGGTCGTGGGTTAGATTCCCACACGGGACAACTATTTGTGCGGCCCACCGTCACGAAAAACAGACACCCTGAAGTTAGCCTCACAAACGTCGACTTTGTAACAGCTGTCATAGGGTCCACCGTCCAAAATGTCCATTTATTTAATTATGTAGAAATAACTTTTTTGTGATATTCAAATAAAACTTTATTTAACTAAATAATGCTATAATAAGCCTTTTTACTAGATAGAGTGATTCAAGAGGATGGTTTATATGTATTGCACCCGTGCGAATCCGGGGCGGGTCGGTAGTGATGTATAGGATGTTGGATTTCCATAAAAAAATGCAGTATGCATATCTCACCTGCAGTCGAAGTTCGTGCTCCAGTATCGCATATTTATGTCGCAGAGCTGCCGCGGACACGTGTGTGAGACGGTGTTGGCGATATCCGTCCCTTCTCTGCACAACCTACACACGAACATCGAATGAGTGTCCACGCTAATGCCATACGAGGCTAAATAATTAAGCGCGCTTTTTTTTATTTTTAAATTTTCTAGAATACTTTTTTCACGAGTTGGTAATTATAATATCACTTTAAAGCAGAAAGCCAACAACATGGTATATAAATACTTTGTTCGTTTACTGGCTGGATATTGAACAGAAGATTTAATGAATGACTGCAACACCGCCAAAGCCTAATAACATATAAAGTTTTCACATGTAAATGCCAATTGCATTATTGCGATGTAATGTTTTATTCTTTCTTAAAAATAACGACTAATAGAAAAAGTTTAGAGGTAGAATGGAGATAGATGCGATTACATGCACAAATTAATGCGGGATTACTCGACAATGGGGTAGAATATAATAACAACGATCGATTTCGAAACATGCAAAATTAAAGAAAAACATTTTAATTTCGCTAATTATATTAACGTTTGAAATTAAGCTGGTTTTAAGTTCCTGAATTATAACAGTAAGTTTTAAATATAAAAATAAAATTATACAACGACTATTCGAACGAAGAGTGGAGGCAACATTTACTATGAGACGTAATAAACTGATTTTCTTCTTCGTCATTTGTGGAGGTTACCATGATATAATCCCGTGAATTAGAAGCGACGTTTTTTATTTACACGTTCAGTGAGCTTTTTATCCGTATTGGAGGGCGTGAAAACAGATACCAATGTTGCATGTAATAGCAATATCAAACAAGCGAACAAGTTTATCAATGTTTCGCCGCTTGGAATGTGATGAAAAAGTTGTGTTGTGTTTTGAAGTCATTTATCAGGCAAAAATGCTTAATAAATAACTTCAAAACTATTTTCTTTATTTCGTTTAGCATCCAAACGATACACTACAAACGTCGCAACTAATTGCGGTATAAACGGCTTACCAACACGGAACGAAGAGGAAAGCGATTAAAATAAATCGAGGCGTGCAGGTCTACGTAAAAGAGGCGGATCTAAAATCAGGAGGGTCAGCGACGTTTCTACGTTTTGATCACCTGATGGTAGGCCTTATCGTCGCAATCTGACGTGTCTATATCATAACCGCAACGCGGCGAATCGTACTGCGAATCGACCATGTACGACTTTTTCGAGTCTACGTCGAACATCTTATCAAAGATCCTTTGCGCCTCCATATCGGGACTGTATCGATCTGGGATCGGGCCCTGAAGTTTCAAAATGTTCGTCACACACGATACACGGTAAGTTGTGGGGGGGAGGCAATTGGGGTGTGGGGAGGTCTAATGGAAAATTTCTTCGGATTGAGATATACATAAATCGATATTGGGGAGCGGAAGAGGGGTGAACGAGCTGATACTTACGAGCACCGTGCGGTCCATGTTTTCCGTTCGGACCGTCTCCTCGTACGAGTAGTCGTGTGGGTCCGCCGATTGTGTGAGGTTCCAGGGTTCGGAGCCGTCTGGACTTGAGCCGCGGTCCGCCTTGGCGTCGTGGGCCTCCCTTTCGGTCCACGGCGAGGCCGCCGGCCTGGCTTCCACCAGCTCCGGTGGAGTGGACGCGGAGGCGGGCGACGCCGTATTATCCGGGGGCTGGACTGCCGCGGCGGCCGCCAGGTTAAACGCCTGGAGGTTTTGAAGCGCGGCCGCCGGTAGACGCACGTGACGCACCCCCGGCCTCGCTAGAACGGGCTTCAACCCCGCCGGCCCGATCAGGCGTTGAAGCAACAGGGCGTTGGTGGTCCCTCCCTCCCCACCGGCGACGGTCAACAGCTTGGGGCCGCGGTTCGTGACGATGGCGATTTGCTGCCCGCCCTTCACCATCGACACCGGGAGGATGTAGTTAGCCGGCATCAGAACGGCGGTAGTCGGCTTGCCGGCGGTGCCGCGGGCCACGGTAATCGTCTGGCCGTCGGCGACGATGACGTTGCGCGGCGGTTGGCGGACCTGCGCCGAGAGAGTTTCGTTCTCAAACGACAGCTTCCTCACAATTTTCCGGGGGCTGCCCTGAGGTGAATTCGACTCAAGACAGCTCTCGTTGCAATCCCCCTGCGATGTTCCGCAGCTGCTGTCCTCTGAGCCCATTGTACGGCAAGTGTCTTCCCCGTGTATGGGGCTCATATCCCTGCCGCCTAGTCGCCGCGAGCTGCCAGAGCTTTTCTTACGCTTCGACGAGGAGCATGAAGGTAGGTTAGTTCGTCTACGCGGTGCTGGTTTATTTTTATCCGGTGAATTCTCCACTTGCTCCCTGTATTCGGCCAATATGTATAAAATTCTCTGTGTTGTTTGTTCGTCCTCCATGGGTTTCTGCGTAGAAGTCTTGGGGGGTGCGCTGTTAAATTTCAATGTGCTAGGAGGATTCGACGAAGCCTTCGCCCTCGATCTAGTTCTGGAACTAATTTTGGCGGGTTTCGGATGGCTATGCTGAACATGTGTTTCGTTCGGTGGAGTGTTAGGAGTGGTTGATTGTGAAACCTGTCTATGCGTAGACGAAGGTGATTCACTTATACCCGTCGAGTCTGGTGATCGAACAAACGTCGACGTTGAAGGTGTCGCAATAGTGGATTTTCGGTTAACATATGCCACATTAAAGTGGTGGTTCGCCCCAATTGAATAAAATACTTGCGTCGGCTCTGTTGATGGCGACGCAGAAGGTGTCCCATCGGTCGTGTCAGCAGTCACAGTGTGCAGTTTTGAGTAAGAATTATCAGCGTTAGGTTGCACAGTACTTCGTTCTTTAACTTGTTCTAGCACCATGTCGAACTCTCTCAACTGTTCGAGAGTCGACGTGCTCATTTGTGACTCTGACGACGATTGTGTTTCCGTAGCCAATTTAACTTGTCTATTTAATTGAGATTGTGGTAATCTTATCGTTTGTTGTCCAAGCTGCGGTGCGGCCGTAAGCACCAGCTGTTGATAAACTGGTTGATTTGCGCCACCAATGACGTTCCTTTGAATCTGAAAAAAAGATGGCCTAACGACTCGCGCACCGGAAACCATCTGAGGTGCTTTGCTTAGCATCGGCAGTTTGATGCGCATTTGCGTCAAAACCGGCTGCGGTTGCGTGTTCTGACCGGACTCATTAGAGATGCCAGTATTGTTAGTACCTTCTTCAGATGGCACTTCAGTGTTAGGTGTTGATTGATTTTGTGGAACTATTTTGATTATTGAGGGTTCTATATCAGTTTCATTACCGTACTTGACATCGGATTGTTTTGAATCATCAAGTAATTCAGTACTAGGTACAGTTATTAAATTTATAGTTTGACCTCCACCGATATTTACAGGTATTTGCCTCGTATAAATAACACCGCCGTGCATTGTTTGAATATTCATGGGTGTTATGGTCTGTTTAATCTGTTGTACCAAATTTGATTGAGCTTGCGCAGTTGGCGCCGGTTTTCGAATCAGTAATGGTGGGCTACTAATTGGTCCAATCTGGTCCAGATTCATGGCACTATCGGATGTCTCACACTCTGGATTATCTGAATTGACCGTCGGTAAATGAGTATTGTCGGCATTGACTTCATCCTGTTTCTGATTCCCATCTTGAAATACTGGCTTCCCGAATGCTTGATTAAATTTCGGCAGGCTTGTTGATTTTTCTGGGCTCGACTGCTTATTTGATGAATTCTGAATAAATTTCGCATAGTTTTCTTCATACATAGACCTAGATTTAATTTCTTGTTGGGCTGGCACTGTTTCCTTAGCAGGCGCAATGGTAGGTGCCGCAGGCGTAGGGCTAAGGTCATCACCCTTAGGTGGAGTGCCTTGAGAATTTGTGGTTTCAATAGGTTGTAATCTTAGAACCATACCTCTCTGATGAGCTGCGTTTAATTGAATAGCTTTACCATCGGCAGATTTACAAACGAATTGTACCATTTTTTGTTCGTTAGATCCTTGAACGTTCGTGAGGTTGGTAAGTAAGTTCACTCTTTTGAGAAGTTGGCTAGCATTATTGTTTTTTTGATTGCTGGTATTCACAATATGCAGTAGTTGATTACCTCCTTGTTGCAGCCCAGTATCCACCAAAGAGAGACCACCATATGTATTTGTTTGTTGTGGGGATGTCCCGTTGGTATTCGTTGCTCCAACTAAGCCTTTGTTTTGCACAATGTGCAAAACCGGTGTAGAATTTGTTGAGTTTATTACAGACTGTTGCTGAACATTATCAACTAAAGTTATTTGATTGGCCGCAGCATTTTTGCTTTGAACGATATGCAAAACTTGAGCAGTGCTCAATGAATTTTGGGATTGCTCATTGTTCTCTGTAGCATTGTTTTGATTTAAGGATGAGGGAAGAATTTGGGCTAAAGCTTGCTGTAGAGTTACAGTGTTCAATGATGTTATTTTAGCAAAATTACTTGTGGAACTTTGACCAATATTTACATCATTTTGTGATAGTACACATACGAATTCATGAGGACTCGAATCAGTTTCAGGTGTGGTCGAAATACCCGCAGCATTCATAGCATGAGCAAGTTGATCGGTTTTTACTGAAGTTTTAACAGATGCATCATCTTCTTTATTAGATGAATCTGACAAATGATTTTGAGTATCTGATTCAGCTGGTTCACTATTTACATTTGTATCGTATGAATAATTAGAATTATTAGCACTATGTTCTTCATTTAACACTTGAACTTCTCTACTTTTAATGCTCAAATCTTCAGCTTCATTGTTTTCCTCTTGGGCTTCAATTTCACTATTAGATATGTATATTTTTTCAGGTTGTAAGAGACCTTCACTTGTAGGTAAATGGGCAGGATCCTCAGGCTCGACTATTTCATTACTATTTTGATTTTCATACTGAGCCACTAACGGAAAGTCCGCGGTTGTAAGTTCAGTATACTCAGTTTTCATAGGCGACTGCGAATCATCACTAGATCCATTTTCAACTGAACATTGGGAAGGACTGACATTCGATACTTGGGTTACACGAGGGTCACAACTGATAGGATTTTGTGCTGCAGCACTTACTGGTATTTGCCCAACTTGAACAATTTGGACAATTGTCTCTATAGGAGGAGGATCAATGAAATCATGTATATAATAGTCCAATGGATAATTTGGGTAATCATATTTTCCATTAATTTTTAACTTGAAATCTTTATCTTTTATATTATCTTTAATCCAATTATAGTTCAATTCCATGGAGGTTTTTTTAAAGTATGACCGTACTTTGTCTCGAAGTTGTATATAAGTGATGTAGCGTTTCATTTTTTCTTTTTGATCACTAATAGTTGATTTACATATATTCGAAATCTCAAAATTATTTTCGTAGTCCTCATAATCTTCGGACAGTAAAAACGGCTGAGATTGCTTTACGTCCGACAGAGTCGCAGCCGAAAATTTTAGACAATCATCCTCTTTTTCTAAATTTTGTATGACTCCGCCGGACTCCTCACCAAAACCCATATTGAAATTAGTTTCATTTGTTTCATCAGATGACAGTTGGATTTCAGTGTACTCGGTTGATAGTTCTTCTGCTAATGTTTGGTTCAAAGGATCTATATAACATTTCTGCTCAGAGTTATCTTTGAAAATATCATCAAGTTCAGTGTCGTTATGAGTTAATGCAATATTAGATTCCTTTATTGGCCACGTCTTCAGCAAGCTTGCCACGTCTACGTATTCTTTATGAAATGATCTTGAGAAAGAAAATTTTAACGAACTGTAATAACTGAATAGGCGTTTGAATTCTTTAACATAAGTTGAATCGTATTGTTTTGTTATACTTGCTTTTAGAGAATCAATGTTTTTGCTTTTTCGGTATCGTTTTTCGTTTATTTTACAATCTGGACTATCATTTTTGCGTTTTATTCCCCGTTTGACCGATTTTTCGCAACATTTTTTTTTACTATATAAGGTTTCGATTTGTTTATCCTTTTTCAAATATGTTTTTTTGGGGACAATAACAGTAAAATTTTCTTCTTCAAGTACATTTTCATCTAAGATCGAATTGTGCATATCTCTATCTTCACTATCGGACACTATATAACTGTTATCGCAAATTTCCTTTGTAAATACAGCATTAGTTTCCAAAGGAAACATATAGCAAGTGCCTGCAACAGGGTCTTCATATTCAATTCCCTTTAAAACTATTCCTGAATTATCATTATAAACAAGAGTTACATTACGGAGAACTTCATAAGTGCCTTTTTGCGACAGGTTTTCGTCAATAACGTCACTGTTTTCTATACACCCTAGAATTTCATAATCTTTACTGTTGTTATCTTCTACGGAATTCTTCTCTATGTCAGTTTTCGGATCTTGAATTTCAGTGTTCATACCGGTTGGTTGTTCCTTAATTTCAACATGTAATTTACTATCGGGATGATTATAATTAGTCGTTATATTTTCTATATCAGGTCTTATAAAATTGTTTACAGCATAGTCATGGTCCAATTTTATGCAATTGCTTTCATTTCGAATGATTTTTGAATTTGAATAACTTTTGTGTATAACAGACACATTATCTTGAACAGCGCATAACTGAAATGAATTGCACTCAATGTTTGATTTATTCGAACTTAGTATTGCAATATCTTCAGTAAAATTTGTATTTTGTAATAATTCTACATTATTATTAACATAAACCCTTTTAGTACGTTCAGTATCCTCCACTTTCAAGCTATCCTCAGTAATGGTATTTTTCTTGATTTCGTCTTTGGAGCTATTAGGTCTAGTGGAGGAATAGCTGAGATTATCGGCGAATTCTGTCGGCCCTTGTGTTTCTCTAATTTTAGCGTCCAAATTACCTTCACTTTTTACCCCTGGAAATTCAATTTCACCGTAAGATGTGAATACTTTTTCAGGTTGTAAGAGACCTTCACTTGAAGATAAATTGGCAGGATCCTCAGGCTTCATTACATCGTTGCTATCAAGATTTAGAACCTTACCACTTACCACATACGGAACTTTTACGCTTTCCTTATTTATGATATTTTTCTCACTTCGGTCTTTGGAGGTACAATTTCTAATAGAGGAATGATTAAGATTCTCGTCGGATTTCGTCAACGCTTGTTTTTCTCTACTTCTAGTGCCCAAACCTATAGCTTCGCTTCTGTCCACTTGCGGTTCGATTTCATTGTTAGATGTGTATACTTTTTCAAGTTGTAAGAGATCTTCACTTTTAAGTACAGGCACTGTCCCTTTACTTTTAAGTATTTTTTTTTCTTCAGGCTCGACTAAATCGTTACTATCTTGATTTTCATACTGAGCCAATGGAGGTGAATAGTCCTTTGTTTTAAGTTCCGTATGCGCCTCTTCGATGTTGTCCTCGATTGTGATATTTTTCTCGCTTTGATCTTTGGAATTACTATGTCTAGTGGAGAAATCATTAACATTCTCGTCGGATTTGATCAACGTTTGTATTTCTTTACTTTTAGTTCTCAAATCTTTAATTTCACTTTTTTTCTCCTGGGAATCAATTTCAGTGTTAGATAAGAATACTTTTTCAGATTCTAAGAGACCCTCACTCGTAGTCAAATGGACAGGATCCTTAGGCTCGCCTTTATTGCTACTATCTTGATTTTCAAACTGTGCCACCAATGGAAGTGTAATGTCCCTTGTTTTAAATTCAGTACACTTCACTTTCGTGCTATTTTCACAAATTATATTTTTGTCGCTTTGGTCTTCGGAGGTACTAGGTTCAGTGGAGAAATCATTAACATTCTCTTCGGATTTGGTCGACGCTTCTAATTCTCTACTTTTAGTTCCCAAATCTTTAGTTTCACTTTTTTTCTCTTGGGAATCGATTTCAGTGTTGGATAAGAATACATTTTCAGGTTCTAAGAGATCTTCACTCGTAGTCAAATGTACAGGATCCTTAAGCTCGACTTCATTGTTACTATCGTGATTTTTATACTGAACTACCAATGGAAGTGAAAAGGGACCTGCTTTAAGTTGAGTATACTCCACTTTTAAGCTATCCTCAGTTATGATATTTTTCTCGATTTGGTCTTTGGAACTACTATGTCTTGTGGAGGAATAATTGTCGTCGGATTCTGTCGAATGTTGTGTTTCTCTTATTTTAGTGCCCAAATTACCTTCACTTTTTTCCTCTTGGAATTCGATTTCACTGTTAGATGTGGACTTTAGACTTAAGACTTTTTCATGTTGTAAGATACCTTCACTTGTAGATAAATTGGCAGGTACCTCAGGCTTCACTATATCGTTGCTATCATGATTTTCATATAGAGCCACCAATGGAAGTGTAAAGTCCCTAGTTGTAAGTTCGGTATACTCCACTTTCAAGCAATCCTCATACATATTTTTGTCGCTTTGGTCTTCGGAGGTACTAGATTTAGTGGAGGAATAATTGACATTATCGTCAGATTCCGACGACTTTTGTAATTCTCTACTTTTAGTGTTCAAATCTTTTAATTCACTATTTTCCTCTTGGGCCTCGATTTCTCTATTAGATGTGAATATTTTTTCAGTTTGTAAGAGGCGTTTGCTTGCTAGTAAACAGTCAGGATCCTCGGGCTCCATTATATCGTTACTTTCGTAATTTTCACACAGAGCTACCGGTGGAAATATTAAGTTCGCCATTGTATGTTCATTGCACCTCACTTCCTCTACCACTTTCGCAATATCCTCATTTGTAATCTTGCTTCCGCTTTGGTCTTTGGCAGAACTAGGTGTATTGGAGGAATAATTGACAATATCACCAGATTCCATCTTTGAGGAGTCTATCTGTTCTATAAGTAGGTTAGAATTGAATTCCTTTTCTGTTAACAATCGGCTATCTTTGGTACAAATCGTATCGGATTCTAACACTACTTTCGCATCTGTTTCGTTGGCACAGAGAAAGCTCTCTTTATGGTTTATTTTTAAATTAATTTCAACATTAACATTAGTTTTTGGTAACTCGGAAAGTTCGTTCTCAATATTCTTATTGTTATCATTAATCAAAATACCTGACTTTTTTTCAATTCGTGTGCAATTATCGGTTACCGTTGAGACATCGAAAATATTTATATCAGTAACATTAACTTTGCCATTAAAAATTACTGCTTCCAGTTCCTTCACATGTAAGGCGTCAGAGGTTGCTACGGTATCGACTGCACTAAGTGACTTTTGTGGTTGATTTTTACAAGACTTGTTATGCATGTTTTTTAAATTGTTCTCTAAGTTCGCGTATTCGAAATAATTTGCCGGTAATTTGTTCTGTACTTTATCAAATTTACTATCTAATTGGGTTTTATCAGTGGTAACCGACTGACATTCTTGAGACGTATCTTGCAAGGTTAATTTATCAACATTATTAATACACCCATCGTTCAAAATAGAACTTAAATTTATAACATTGGATTCTGTAATAAGTTTGTAATTATCTGTCCTGTCTTTTTTTGTGGCTATTGGATCTTTAATGTCGGATATATTCAAATAATTTGCATGATTAGTTTTTACTATTTCGTGACACGCCATTTTATTTTTAAAATCTTGGCGACTCTTCATTTTTCTTTTGAGTAAATTATTTTGGCTTTGTTTACTCACGATATAATTCTTTGTAATTGGTTGCATATTATCAAGAATTGTACTATTTTCGAAAAATCTCAGCAATAATGTACTAAGGCTTTGAACATTTTCCCGTCGCTCAATCAATCCAAATAATTGTGAAGATGTGCAGTCCTGTTCCATTAAGTCATTTTTTTCTGCAAGTTTTGAACATTCAGTGTCACTTTCGAAGTCTGTAGAAACATCATCATAGTTTTGAGAGGTAAGAGTTTGGGAACATACATTATTATCCGTACTTCCAATAGAGTTATTATTGGCACAAAAATATAGCTGTGGTTTTGTCATCGACCACTCTGCACTGCACTTTAAAAAAGGAATTGAAACAGTGTCAAATTCTATTACGTTATTAGTTTCACCATGAATCGAAGTTATCTGTTCTATAGAGAAACTAATATTTTCATTATTATACAATGAAAAATCATTTAAAATTGAAAATGATACACTTCTGGTCAAGTTATGTTTGGTATCCGGTGTTTTATCAATATCAATATTGACCTTATTCTTTATATTACTTTTCTCTCCGCTCCCATCAGCAATCCTATCTTGCTCTGGAATAGTTATAATTTCATAATTACTATTATTTTCTTTAAAGTAAGTTTCTGAACTGTTATACGGCTCTTTTAAGAAACTGTTACATCTGACAAGTTCCACAAAACATTCCTTTTTAATGACACCTAATCTTTCATATTTCTTTGCTATGTCGTCACATCTAGTTAGTTTCAAATAACATTCTAAATTAGTTGACGCCTTTTTTGATTCACAAGCAGGCTTAAAATTATCTAGAAAAGGATTGTCTGTATCACTTAAGCTGGATAAGATGTGATCATTAGTATCAAGTACTTTAATATCGTTTTGGTTTACAACATCGTCTATATTTTCCGTAATATTGTCCTGTTCAGCATTTATAAAGTTACATTGTTCTGTGACAGCATTATTATTTGGATTATTTTGTTCCATTGCAATTTCGTGATCATTTTGACGAGAAATATAAATTTGACTATCAGTGATATCTTGATCAGATTTTTCGGTTTTGTCTGGCAAAATGTCATTGCTTTTCTGTATTAAATCACTAGATTCTTGGTGGTTGGTGTTACCATCAAATTTAAATAGTTGCTGGATTGTATATTTTTTCAATGATACCAAACATTTGTCAGAAAATTTCTTTTGGTGCTTCAATAATACTTCTTCATTGAGAGAGTTAACAGCAAATTTGCCGAATTCAGTGTCGAAGTGTTGACCCGGACCATCCACATCTTCATCATCGCTGATCAAGTTTATGGTTTCTATTCCTTGGTTATCATTATTGCTATTTTTCTGATTTGTAAGCGCCTGGGTAGTTTCAAAAGTAGAGATCGGGTTTTTAGCACAGTACATCTTTTTAATACTAAGTGTACACCTTCTGCTTTTATTATAATTAGTTAATAAAATCGATTTTAATTTTGGATGCACCAGTATGTCGTTAACGTCCAAATTATTTTTTGCAGTAATTGTAGCTTTAAATTTTTTACCACTTGGCAATCGAACGCGTAAAGTTTTTTTTGATGGATGTTGTAGTTGTTTAGAATTGATCTCTTCTAAGGTTACCTCATCAATTTGTTTCATTTGAGTCGCATGCTTCTTCATTTTTATTTAGAGCCTCAGTAACAATAGGAATGTTAGATTCCAAGCTCTTCTTCTGAAGGTTATCATCAACAGCTGTTTTAAGGTTAACATCCCTTTTTTCAGTACGTTGAACAGTTTTTTTGTGCGATTTTAACTTTTTCCTACCTTTGTCCTCATGCCTTTCAATGATATTGTTACCATCACATTTTATCGTTGCTTGCGTGACATCGCCTTTAAGAAATGATTCTTTATTAGCAATGTCCTCGCCTGATTTAACTTGACTTAAATTTACACCGTGTTTCTCATCATTCCGAATAAGAGGTTCATCAAAACTTTTATCTTTATTTTCTTTTTTCATAATAGACGTTAGATCTTTACTATGCGTTTCATCAGAGTCATTTAACGTTCCGCTTGTCTTTGGTATTACCGATCCCACCAACTGTTCTTCTATGTCTAACAATTGTGGTGGTGGAGTGTTAGGTGTGGTTACACTGCTTGAATTATTACAAGGTATGTCTAACTTTTCTAACATCTCTTCATCACATGTCTGTTTAACATTATTTATTTTATTTTCTATATTTACACTCTGTTTAGTTGCAATAATATCTTTTGTACTATCTTTGCAAATGTTGTAACTTGAAATAGCAGATTTATTTATTTCAGACTGAGTTTTATCTACACTATTGATCTCACTTTTTAAAGTACTTTTCTTATTTTTTACTGCAACCACTTGCACTTTTCGTTTGCATCTCAAACTTATTGATTTTTTACTTTTAATTTTTTTATTTGTTGGAGGCTTTTTAGCCTTTAATTTATTTGTAGATGGTAACAACAAGCCACGACGCCGCACAACTGTGCGTATAATACTAGTCTTTTCTTTAAAATTTTCAGGCAATTGCAATTCTACTGGGTTTAGAGTATGTAAGCCTTTTCCATCATCTTTAATTTTAATTAATTGACTACTTGTGTGTTGACACACAGAAATGCTTTCAAGTTCGTTTTTTGTATCCGGACTCGAATTTTTACTCTTCTGCTTTATATTGTTTTCAATATTGCTGCATTTTATTTTTGTGACTATTTTATTCAATGGTGTATATGGTAAAGGGATGGGTAAAGTATCAGTATGATGGTTTATTTTTCTACTCATCAAAGCCAACCGCTTTTGCTTCAGTCTATCGTACTCTTTGGGAACTTCGTCTTTAATCTTGTCTTCCACAAAGTGGTCAGGTTTCATTAAAACTTTGTGATCAGTCTTTTCGGTTGATAATTTTTGATTATCTTGAACTTGCAATAAAATTTTCCTTTCATGGCTCTTACTTAATTCCATTTTATTATCTGAACTTTTTTCATGACTTTTTTGGACTTCGGGAAGAATTTTCTTCTCAAAATTTTCAGAATTATTAATGTTAAAAGTATCATATAAATGTGGTTCCAATTTTATAATTCCAGAGTCTTTATGATTATTTGCAATCTGCTGACTAGATTTCTTTATAACGACAGGCGTTGTTAGTTCGGTGGTTTTTTGTGCATTAGTTTGGGAGGAAGGCAATGTAAGTACTGAATTCCCAACAATAACTGGCGCTATAATCGGGGCCGCATACGGCGTGGATTGTATCAAGGCAAAATTTGTCATAGGATTTACGGCAACATAAGAACTCGGATTCAATATGGGAGATTCTTGTAATTGAATAGCAGAATACGAATCATACACAATTTCTGACCCAACAAGAACGACATTTTGCATAGACGTTTTTTGTGGCATCGCAGTAATAGGATTACTCGTATCTAAATTACAATTTTGGCTCCTTACATAAGCACTGTTACTAGAATTAACTATCGGCTTAGGTGTCTTTAAGATAACCCGATCTCGTGACGAAATTATAGGTTTACTTGGCTCCACTGGGTTATGTAAGTTTTTTTCTAAAGGGACCTGTTGACGTACGATATTTTTAATTTTAAAATCCGCTAAATTGTTATATTCACTATTGATAACACGGTGGGACTTCAAATTATCATCATTTTCAAATGCCGAAGTGCATGGTAACTCTTTCACAGATTGTATTATCTTCATATTTATCGGTTTCATAACGCCTGTGGCAAAGTTAGGGGTATTTCCATATGCTAACATTGAATCTTGCTTCTGAAACTCTTGATCCGTTAGTCTCTGTGATTCTACGAAGCAATTTTTCTGTAATTGGTCTGCTATCAAAGTTTTACCCTTTACGTCATTGGACGACTTACAATCTTTTCGAACTGTTAAAGGAGCCGCTTGAAAAGCTTCCTCGTCAGATAACAGCTCGCCTATTTCTTGACGTAAATCGTCATCCATGAGTTCTTCTAATAGGTCATAATCAGAATTGGGAATGCCAGATATAAATGGATCGTGGTTTAGAACATCACATATAATATTTTTCTTTGATAGATCAGGCGAAACAGCCTTCGGCGTATATTGTATGTTTGATCTTTGTACTGATATAGGCTTATTTAATATTTTAGGAATGCCAGATTGAAGCGATTTAGATATTTCGATTGGTGATTTTAGATTTTTAACCAAGGGT